GTATTTGGCTCGCAACGCAACCGAGTTTTTCAGTCTTCCTCCACATCGTCATGTCATTAGCGTCCCTCGATTTCATAGCAGATTTCATTCACGACAATATACACCGTCACATGGTAACTAATACATTTTTCGATAAGAATATACTGAGACAATGTATTTGCCACGAAACGCAACCGAGTTTCTGAACCCGAAAGGAGTTCTTTTCGACGATCCTCGATTTTCGCAGGCATCGAGAGCGGTTATTCCGTGCAGTCTGGCGATCAATATCGACACAGGCATCTTATTATCTTCTTATCAGAATCAAGTGAACCGTCCACGTAACGAAACACCGGCGGTTGCACCTTGTGTTAACGTTCGGCCTCATGCGAAGCCGATCCTGACGGCAGAGCCGTTGAACGGGTTTTTGCTTTCGGGCTCTTTTTTTAAATTCCACCGGCATCGTATTTTTAGACCGAGCTGGGCAAAAAGGACCTAAAGGGTTGCGTCGGGATTTTCTGGCTGCGTCGTTTCTCTTAGAGGCACGGTGGTATTAAAAGTGTCCCACCCTATAACACCAAACTTAAGGTGAAGTGAAACACGTCGAGGAACTTGATCGACAAATGCATCTAGGACTCCGTTCTCAGGATATTTCAGTGAAATATGATTCAANCAAAGTTTCGGACAGTTTGGGCTAACACCCTTAAAAAAAAGTGTTGTATTCGTATCGACAGATTGGAAGGGGGTTTCACTTCACCTTAATTGAATTATTTTTTTTTTGTCACGTGTTTCTATTATGTCATTCCTTTATTGATAATAAATAAACCAACTTTGTTCAGTTTAAAAGGGAAGAAAATTTGTGTGCCACATGGGCCTTTTTTTTTTATAAAATCCCGTGCCTCAAAGGGTTGTATGGCGGCGAGTTGGTCCTCATTTGCATGCCTCTTCTGCAGTCTGGAAGTGGGTGAGAGGACAAATTGGTCGTCCGATCGCACGGGAGCCTAACTCGATTGGCTTTTATTTCTGCGTTTATCGGTTCTGTGGGAAAATGAATGCGATTCGGGGCTGGGAAATGGTAACTTTCCTCGTCGTCTGGCGCGGCATGAGAGTCGATATCCGAGCAAACTGCACCCTTTTGCGCCAGAGTGCCAAGGACGATTCCCTGCAGAAGTGCAACGAGCTTCGCGATAATTACATCCGTAACGATAACGTACCGAAGCGGGTAAGTGGAATGCAATCGGCTGTGAGATCGCGAGAGAACAACGGAGGAGCACGACCGCTCCTTCCGAAAGCAAGACCTATCCCAAGCAATGCGAAGCTGCGCTGTTTGCTGCAATTACCTGCATCGAGATGTCTGGCATTTGCCATCCGGCAAAACGTCGAGTCGTCTCACCATAAATGCAACAATGACGTACCTACCTTTTTGTTATTTAAAACAATGGTACTCGTTCTGGCGAAAGGCAGGCTCCGATTAACTCTATCGTTCTCGTAAAGAAACCCGACAGAGTTCCGCGCCAAGTCGAGAAAACATGACTCCTTATATTTTAATANGTTTCACTTCACCTTAATATTTGCAACAATGGTATTCGAAATAAGGGAACTCGACCGAGTTTCGCGGCAAGTTGCAAAAATCAGATTATTCATCAGTTTATTTTTAACATTTGGAAAAATATTGGAAATAAAGGAACTCGATCGAGTTCAGCGGCAAATACATTTCCAAGTCGACGAAGGTCTTAGAGTAAATTTCTCTAAAATAATTCCACCGATGTATGGTCATTTTATACATAAATTTATGTCCTTTTGTACTATATTTTCAATGTTTTAGACCTATTTACGTAAATGTACTTGTAGCTTGGTTTCCGGAGGCAAAACGTGACCCCGAATTTCCGACTCAGCGAGCCCATTGCGCATCCATTATGTGGTTATTGTACGATTATGTACACTTCCGTCCTACAAACAAGGATTTAGCCACCAGATAGGCGATCTATACGTCTGGATACACGATTCATTTATATTCAAATTTATTCCGATGATTCGTGTTAATCTTGCAAGGTCTTTCGTGAACGTGTCGGCGTCTATCCGTACATCCACATACTCATCCGGTATTCTAGGAACACTCGTCACAGAGAAATTTTACTTTGTTTGCGATTCCATTGAACAGCCTTCGATTCCTTTTTCTTTGCAAAGAAAACGGATCTTAATTATACGAATCGCTTCTGTTTACGCGGCTCGGCCGGGGCAGGGATCAACACAATCCAAGATGGCGGCGGAGATGTTTGAGAAAGCTTCCGTAAAACAGCCGAAAATACGGGAAAATACTGGAATATACTATAAAACACAAGAAAATATTGGAAAACACGCGAAAACCAGGGAGAATACCAGCAAGGTACACGAATTATACTTAAAATACAAGATTTCAGGGAAGAAGAGGAAGAAGAGGGTTCAACATAATCCAAGATGGCGGCGGAGATTTTCGGAAAAGCTTCCGTAAAATAGCCGAAAACACGTTAAAATACTGGAAAACACGGGAAAACCTGGTAGAATACGAACAAGGTAAAGGAATTACACGTGAAAGAGAAGATTTCAGGGAAGAAGAGAAGCAGGTTTTGAAGGAAAATTCCGTATCGCGAGAGACGCCCGTCTCTTCGCGGCGCGTTATTTGCATGGAAATCTATTCTCCTAATTCGTGCTAATCTTGCCTCGTCTACAGTCCGTGTTCGTGAATATACTTAGATTTGCCTTTACTAGGGGTAAACCCACGAAGATGAAGGCACCAATGGGTGTTCGGCATTTCTGGAATGGCTTTCGAGGAACTCTAGTTTGTTTACGTTTCCTTCACCTCTGCGTGGTTTACCCTCTCCTTCTTTCCCCTGCAAGAAAAACCGAGTCCCCATTGTAAGAAAACATTTAGACTTACTAGGCTCTCGACCAGGCCATTATTCAATGTCACTCGTAAGGTGGAAGTCGATCTTTCGTGAGCGCTAACGAAGTGCGCTGTTAAAAAATTTTTCCTTAACAATTCCAACTGACAATTCCAACAATTTCGCGAGTGCAGAATCATCGCAAAGAATGAAGTGCTTGAAGAATGAAAAATTTGCGGAAAGTGGCGGGAAAGTCGACTGAGAGGTTAGCGATGCATGGAAATTCGCCTTCAGATATGTATATGGATATTGAAATGTGAAATATAATGAATAGAGATGAACCAACAGGAATATTAAAAGGGGAATTCATGGAGAGTAATTAAGAGCAATTCGTAACGTTTATTAATTCTTTTCAGCTTAGAAGTTTGATTTTTAAGAGTGGCGGCCATGTCCGGATTTTTCTCCATTTTTCCGCTTTCTTTGCGTTTCTTTTCTCGTTATTCTCGATTTTCTGCCTGGTCCCTCTTCCGGCATTTTCTCCGAGGAAATTGCACACTTGCGAGTTCATTTCTTTTCCTAGTTATTTTCAGGTAAGCAGATTTTAGGGCGGTCTTTGTTCCTCAGGGGAGAACTTTGTTGGCGTTTTCAGACTCGGTCGCCATTGTAAAAAAGCCTCTCGACTTACGTAGTTCTCGATCAAGTTACGATTCAATGTCAGTCGTGGCAGTCGATGGTTGTGTTTTAACGAAGAGTATGTGCGATTCTCTGGAACCGGTTACAAGGTTACGATCGACCGATCGGTGGTGATCGTAACATAATGTAGAAGTTTCCACGTTTAAGATCCTCTCTCCCATGTTCAAAAAATCAAATATCTTCATTTTGCGTAAAAAGTGACATTTTCAGTAACAACGTTTTATTTTAATTTATATTAACAACGCAATCAGTTACAAGGTTACGATCAGCTGATCGGTGGAGATTAACATAATGTAGAAGTTTCCAAGATCCTCTCTCCCATGTCTAAGATCAAATATCTTCATTTTCCGTAAAAAGTGACATTTTCAGTAACAACGTTTTATTTTAATTTATATTAACAATACAACCGGTTACAAGGTTACGATCAGCTGATCGGTGGAAATTAACATAATGTATAAGTTTCCAAGATCCTCTCTCGCATGTTCAAAAAATCAAATATCTTCATTTTGCGTAAAAAGTGACATTTTCAGTAGCAACGTTTTAGTTACCTTTATAGAACACATGAAATGGAGCCACTCTAGCGTGCAAAGCTCCAAACTCGCTTTCAGTCATGATCAAAGTTAGGCCAACAATGACTACGGATAAAATGGTTCAAGTTTGCCTTGACCCAACCTTGGTTATACCAAACCTCCTTCAATAATTCGTATTAAAGCCGCGTGGAAAGGTGCAAACTTGTTTTCGCCAGAACAGTCATGACCAAGGTTAGTCCAACAATCAATGAATTAATTAGATCATCAATTGGATCAATTAATTCCACCGTGTAGAATTCCAAATTTGATTTTACTAAATACCCAGAACCAAGGTTTGACCAACAATGGCTACGGGTAAAATGGTGCCCAAGTGTGCCTTGACCAAACTCGCTTTCATCAAATCAGTCACGATCAAAGTTAGGCCAACAATCAATGAATTAATCAGATCATCAATAAGATCAATTAATTCCACCGTGTAGAATTCCAAATTTGATTTTACTAAATCGCCAGAACCAAGGTTTGACCAAAAATGGCTACGGGTAAAATGGTCCAAGTGTGCCTTGACCAAACTCGCTTTCCTGCAATCAGTCATGATCAAAGTTAGGCCAACAATGACTACGGATAAAATGGTTCAAGTTTGCCTTGACCCAACCTCCTTCAATAATTCGTATTAAAGCCGCGTGGAAAGGTGCAAACTCGTTTTCGCCAGAACAGTCATGACCAAGGTTAGTCCAACAATCGTCACGGGTCCAGCGGTCCAGGTTGATCGTGACCAAGAGGGGATCTTCGTTCGACGGATAGATCAGTTCTCTTGGACCTCTGGAGCCGGTATCCCCTTCTGAAGTGGCCTTATGCACGCGTCGCCGTCTATACGTCGCATAAATACATATTTACGAGTGGGTGGCCGAGCCATTGCGAAGTGCACGTGGTCGAGCGGTCCCGTGGCGGTAACAGTTCCACGCCGACCGCCGCATTAGCACAACAATCGCTCCGAAATCGACCTCTCAGAGAGGTCGATAGTGTCGAAAGTGCAGAGGAGTCTCTAATAAATCCTCCGATCGTCTCCAATTTTCTCAGGAAATTCTCAGGAATTTCCCTGAACCTTCGAGCTCCATGACGATTTCTCCATAGAGGTGAGAGGAGTGTCTTCGAGTTCGAGGAATTTATTAAACAAGTGCTTCTGTGCCCGCAGTGAATTTTTTAGTGGAGTTTTAGTGCTGAGGTTAATACAGAAATTCAAGAGAAGTAGGGACGAAGAAAGTTTCTTTGTCCATTGAATTTTCTTTTACCCCGTCGAGGATCTCTGGGAGATTTCTTTCCCAAGAAAAAAAAAAGAATTCCTTTAAGGTGAAGTGAAACACCCTTCAAATCAGTCGATTCGAATACAACACTTTTTTTTAAGAGCATTAGACCAAACTGTCCGAAACTTTTACACATCACTCCTGATCATCTAAGAATTGTCCTGACACATTGAAAATTTGGATTTTTCAAACAAATTTTTTAACTCATTCCAGACCAGAACCAAAATGGCGTCGAGCTCTCATATTTCGATCAATATACAATTGTNGGCTTTTGTTGTCTGACAAAGTGGATAGGAAAGTTATATTCCGGGACGCTTCGTCTCTCTCAAACCTAGTTCGATATTTAATGTGGTTCTCCGCTGCAAACTATAATAACTATGTTAATTACGAAATTTCTCTGTCGAATCCTAATTGAGTTATCGCGTCGGAAGAGACACGCGTCGCTCCGTATGTGACGGTAAACGCACTTTCCTCGGAAGTGAGAATTTTTAACATAACCTCAAACTTCGGGTCCTACTTGGACCCCTTTTTTCCCTGGTATTCGATATATTTAATAAAACCATCGCGCAATGAATTAGGTGAGTAGAACTATAGTGAATTTTGCGCAGCGTTCGTTTTCACGAGTTCAAGGTCACTTTCACTCGCTTGACCTTGCGGCTGACCTTAGGTTCAACAGCCTCCACCTTTTGAGGTTATGAAGGCGACCTCGAACTTGAAAACTCCGGTTTAATCCGGAGGCTTACGAGATTTATTAATACGTAACTATTGATAGGAACTTATCGTACTCGGAACGCGAATCGATTAGAAGTAGAAGGTTATCATCCAAGAAGTAGGTGAAAAAAATCACCTTGCGGATGGTTTTTAGAATCTGAAGGATGATCAGTATATCGAAGTCGGCGCATGACTTGTAAATGATTTCCTATCGATGTAAACGGAGTCATTTCGGTTAATTTTTATTCGATTCATATTGTGGACGTACTGCGGGCTGTCCCGATATGGATTGCAGCTGCAAGCCATAAAAAATGTTAATAAAAGTACAGGAAAAAGCTGCGGGACGATTTCGACATGAATTACCGTACCAGTGAAACCGTAAAATTGTGAAATCAGCATAGAAACGGTCTCTGTATAAATTTTTTTCAGGAATGGCGGTAAATTTCGTACCTGTTACTAAACTGCCCCTGTATAACGAATCAAGACTCTGTACACTGGAATAATTTACCATACAATTACCACGACGGTTCATGCTAATGGACATTGCACCACGAAAGTGAAATTAAATCCGTTTACACGGTGGAGATCGACTTATATGAAGTCGCCAGGCATCAAACGGCAGAAATAAGTTATGCAGAATTACCACCATACAATTACTGCCGTACAACCATACCAGACCACGGTAGAAATAAGATATATATTTATAATTACCACCATGGTTCATACTAATGGACATTGCACCACGAAAGTGAAATTAAATCCGTTTACACGGTGGAGATCGACTTATATGAAGTCGCCGGGCATCTAACGGCAGAAAACAAGGTTATTGCACGGCCGATTTACGACCGGACATTTTTCACTTTCCACCGAGATTAATTAGCGCATAATCGACCTTAAACCGTGAGCAGTGTTTCCACCGGATCCAATTACAGTCGTAACTCATTTCCGACGATTAAATCAGGTAGCATCTCCGGGGCCAGCGATGAAAGGACGCTTCATGCCGGTAATCCAAGATGGCGGCGGTTAATCTTCACCACGGCGCATAATAGCCGTAAAAGAGGGAGCGGGCAGGAAGGAGGATAGTTAAATATTCCTTTTTACGTACTCGCACTTTCCCGCGAGGTTGCATTTGCTCTCGTTTAACCTAACTTTATTTCCTCTCCCTGTTGATTGCGGCATCCTGCTTATCTTCTCGTATCAAAATCTGTACTTGGGACAGGAAGCGAGTCTTCTAACGAAGATAAACCAAACGGATGGAGGAGTAGTGGAGGAAATGCGAGATTGCGAGGGGATTCTTTTTTTTTTAAGGAAAGAGTAGTAACGTGAGCGAAAAGTGAGGTTAGGTGGGACTTCAAAGAACTCTCGAGACGCCGCGAAGGGCTTTTATTGATACGAGTTTTCTTATGTGTTTACACAGAGTTCTGTGCTCCTCCCCCCCTGTGAATGGCTTTGTTATTTCTTTTTTTACCGCTGAAACAATAAATTCCATTTTCCGCGCGTCTTCTTCCTCGGTTTGAATCGTGTCGAGGGAAGGAAGGCGTATGTATAGTGCGCGTTTTGCGTATGCATGTATAGTCCATGTATAGTGGATGTTTTGTACTTCGTACCTATAAATACACGCAGTGGTTTCGACTGTTGCCCTTGACCCTCGCACTTCCTCCTTTCGACACGCGATTTTATCATCGAGGTTCGATTTTTCTTATCGTCACGCCCGACGCGGCGCCTCCACTCGTTGACGCGCTATTAACAAATATCAATAAACAATTATTTTTTTTTTTATACACGCCGCAGTGAATCTTATCTTTCGCCAGAGTCCTCGTCTTCTAACGCAAGATCCTGAATTGGTTATTATTAATTATTTATCATGTAACACGATTTTTCAAGATCACGTAACACGCGACGCGATCTTTACTACTATTGTTAACATATAATTTCGTTAATTTTGTTAGTGTTACATGGGTCTCGTGGAACTTTTGCGTCTTATCAGAGGATCGTTAAGGTGAAGTGAAACATCCTTCAAATCAGTCGATTCGAATACAACACTTTTTTTAAGGGTGTTAGACCAAACTGTCCAAACTTTGACACATCACTCCTGATCATCTAAGAATTGTCCTGACACATTGAAAATTTGGATTTTTCAAACAAATTTTTTAACTCATTCCAGACCAGAACCAAAATGGCGTCGAGCTCTCATATTTCGATCGATATACAATTATCGAAGGCTCTGATATGAGAATCGAAAGGGTCAGGACAGTTTTACGAGAATTTAGAACACTCTGGTTGTCGATAAACTCGCATTTGAACGGGATAAAGGCAGAAAAAGTGTTGTATGCGCTTGTTTGCTAAAACGATGGTAATACGAGGTCTCGGAGTGAAAATTTAATTGACCTGGAAATCACAGATGGCGCAGGGGGTCCCTCCGCAGTCAAATAGGGCCCCAGAAGGCACGAATCCAGAGGATTTCTGGAGTTTTACTTCGATTTCTTTATAATTATTGTACGAAAACGACAGGTGTAATATGCCATTTGGGACAATATATAATATAATTCGACCCAGCAGTCAATATAAAAACGAAAGTCGGCAACGTAGGCATTTAAAAAAATCTTCTTTATCGACGTTGATCAAGTTCCTCGACGTGTTTCACTTCACCTTAACGCACCTCGCAATTCCATTGATTAACATGTCAGGGACGGCCGTTTGCTTTTTGCTTTTTCTTTTCTTTTTTTACTTCTCTTTCTTTGGCTGTTAACTTCGAGGAGGACTTTGCTAAGCGTTTTGCGTGTTGGAATAAATCGTTCCTCCATAGTCGATGATGGACAATGCAATTAGCACCTTTTTGTGGTCATCGACCCGTTTTGCCGGCGATTTAGATGACCGGCATCGAGAATTCCCATAAATTCCCATGAATTCCCATAAATTCCCATAAATTCCCATAAATTCCCATGAATTCCCATGAATTCCCACTCGGCTGGTCCCTAATTCCTCTCTAAATTCGAAAGGCGTGATTCAGGATTTTTTAATCACGCGGGATGTAAAAGAACTCGTCTAATGGCTTTATAATGTACTTCCTCGGTGCAGGGACACGGATACTTACCGTAATAACAGACTTGATGTAATTACAGTAAGTCATCGTTACGCTCACCGACTTACTGGCGATTCTGAGCAGGGTAATTGTTAGCCAAAAATTACACCTTGTGTCGTAGGAATTATGTAACCGAGATCATACGACATCTCGTTCTCAATGTATTAATTGTTTATCGGATTAATTGCCGAAGACGATACCACGCTCTTTGGTTCGCCTTCAAGCCATTCCCGGGAGGGTGATAACAAGGATCGGGTTCGTAATACGTGGAGTGATAAGGATTTCCTTGGTCTCTGAAGATATATCACGTTCTTGAAATATTTATTCCTCGCTTCAAGCTCGAAAGCACGACCGATGATGGTATCGCTCTTATGAGGAATTATTTAGTGCATTATGGTTGTGCAATGCGACGTCGGAAAATTAAGGTGAAGTGAAACACGTCGAGGAACTTGATCGACGTCGATAAAGAAGATTTTTCTAAATGCCTACGTTGCCGACGTTGGTTTTTATATTGACAGCTGGGTCGAATTGTATTGTGTATTGTACCAAATGGCATACTCCACCTGTCGTTTTCGTACAATAATTATAAAGAAATCGAAGTGAAACTCCAGAAATCCTCTGGATTCGGGCCTTCTGGGGCCCTAATTGACTGCGGAGGGACCCCCTGCGCCATCTGTGATTTCCAGGTCAATTAAATTTTCACTCCGAGACCTCGTATTACCATCGTTTTAGCAAAGAAGCGCATACAACACTTTTTTTGCCTTTATCCCGTTCAAATGCGAGTTTATCGAGTACCAGAGTGTTCTAAATTCTCGTAAAATTGTCCTGACCCTTTCGATTCTCATATCAGAGCCTTCGATAATTGTATATTGATCGAAATATGAGAGCTCGACGCCATTTTGGTTCTGGTCTGGAATGAGTTAAAAAATTTTTTTAAAAAATCCAAATTTTCAAAGTGTCAGGACAATTCTTGGATGATCAGGAGTGATGTGTCAAAGTTTCGGACAGTTTGGTCTAACACCCTTAAAAAAAAGTGTTGTATTCGAATCGATTGATTTGAAGGGGGTTCACTTCACCTTAATCCCTCTTCGCATTTTTTGCGCGGTAATTCTGATTAATAATTATTTTCGAGTATCTTAGTTTCCTAAGGATTTCTCATGAATTACGAGGCCGCATTTTCCTCGGGTTGTAATAATTATTTATTAATAATTATCGCAAGTATTACAATTTCTATAATTAATCATTATTTCGAGCAGTTTTCTGAGGATCTTTCATGCGTTAGGACGTAGCATATCCCTTGCGCGGTCGTTGTAATAATTATTTATTAATAATTGTCGCAGGTATTACTATTCGGCGGGAATTTTGTTTGCGCTATCGGTGAATTGCGCGTTCCTTGCGAAGTCCTGAAAGGAGTTGCTTTGAAGGAGCTCAAGTCGAGGAATAATTGGCCCGCGAGCGATTCGTCCTTCTGGGAACGCCTCGGTGGATTTCAGGGTCGACGTGCCCGTAGGAAAAGGCAAAAGACCAGTCCCGGGTCGAGGAGGTATCCTGCAGGTTCCTCTCCTGTTCGCAGGATATCTAGGACCTCCACCTCCGGCGAATCGCACTTTCCGCCCGGGGCATTTCGGGAACAATTTCGCGGGGAGTTTTCGCCGCCCGGTTGCCCGGAAGCTGTCGGTTTCACTGCCAGTGCGTTCCTTCAAAGGCTGCCCACTTGTGGATGCTGCACCTGCTGCAGCTGCTGCAGAAGAGCCAAGGCCGCCCTCCATGCGCGATTAAACCTCGAAAGGGCCCTCCACGGTTGCGTAGGTTTTCACCGGAGATGGACCGGACTCTCTGCGTCTCGCAAATCGAATTCGAGGCTTGTCGATCTCCCCCAAATCGAATTCCACATCTCACGGACTCAAATTCCTATTTTATCCCGCTAAGTGACCCGACTTGCGCTGATTGTTTCGACGCGGACGCCGCCATTTTGAATTAACGCGCCTTTCGATAGAAATGTTATTTCTTCACATTTTCAGTCATATAAAAGAATAACTTAGCGATTTTTTCCAACACGTTTCCAATGAATTCTGATGTTTAAATCAAGTATTCGATAGTAAAAATATAGTCGATGCGACGCACTGCCGCCATTTTGAATTAACGCGTCTTTCGATAGAATTTTCATTTCTTCACATTTTCAGTCACCTGAAAGAACAGCTTAGCGATTTTTTCCAACACGTTTCGAATGAATTCTGATGTTTAAATCAAGTATTCGGTAGTAAAAATATAGTCAATGCGACGCACTGCCGCCATTTTGAATTAACGCGTCTTCCGATAGATTTTTCATTTTTTGAGATTTTCAGTCACATGAAAGAACCGATTACCGATTTTTTCCAACACGTTTCGAATTAATTCTGTCGTTTAAATCAAGTATTCGATAGTAAATATATAATTGATGCGGCGCACTGCCGCCATTTTGAATTAACGCGCCTTTCGATAGATTTTTCATATTTTGACATTTTCAGTCACCAATATGTATGTATTCCTTTAAAAGAACAATTTATCCTGTTTTCTGAACACGTGCTGATGTCAGAATGAATCCTGCGGTTTTAATCACGTACTTAGTAGTAAAAATGTGGCGTTCTTTGTATCACTTAAAAATCGGCCATTTTGCCTCGCTACTCACGCCTCGAAGATCAAACACTCCGTGTACGCGTTGCAAATGAATAATTTCCTCCGGTTTTCCTGGCTTTTTCAGTTACATAAGTTTTTCTTGCAATTCGGAGAGAACAGGGCTGTTCGCGGTCGCGCGGATCGTTTGCGGCCGTATTCCGCGGTCAGGATTTTTCGAATTATCGCCAAGGACCCGTTTCTAGTCGTAACCCGGAATATCTCCACTCGGAATATGACGATTCCCGAGGGAGACTTTCGGCGAACGTATTTACCCCGAGAAAAGGGGCAGTTTGTTCAGGATTACGGGGATGCAAATTTTCCGACACATTTCCGGACGTGGAACCCCGCAGTTGGTTTATCTCCATCATTAGCTCCCCTCTTTGCGTGACTCGGCGAGGCCACTCTAAGACCCGAAGAAGTGATTAAAATAAATTACCATTAATATTAATGAAGGTAAACCTCTAAACGGTCCACATGGAAATATGTAACACGTGCCATGGAAATATTTTAACATATGCCAGAATAAATTCACATGTATACAGAATATACATGGAATAAAGTCATGGATAACGTTTGGCGATCTCACATAAATAAAACAGATAATGGTCAGTGTTATATATATATATATTTGGAGCATATGGATATTTGGTACAATTGTAATGCATGTATAGTCCCATGGGTTAATAATTCCATGATTTAAGACATCGAATCTTTCGGAGGAATAATTTCGTTTCTTTTAGAAGCCATATGCAAAACCAAAATGGGTTATGTGCTTGAAGTGTGTACTTTTTGTAAATAGAAAAAAAATTCTGAAAAATCAGATTTGTGGGAATACGCGAAGAATCGAGGGAGTCAAGTATTGACAGAAGTTCTGGGCGCGGTAATGGTCATTAATAATGACTTTCCCATGAAATTGCGTTATGCAAGGTGGAGTGTCTCTTGCGACAGGCAATGGAGACATTAGCCGAGTGGCGCAATCGCAGATCGGAGCTTTTAGACGCGAGTTGTGGGCTCTAACTAGTCATTCGATCCTATCGAATGACCGTCATCGCATCCATGCTTACCTCGGGCTAAAGTGGACACTCGGACCGTGAGATTTGTCCTGCTCTTCAGGGTCCCCGCGAAGTTTGCGAAAGTTTCCCCCAGCTGATCAGCTGATCAGCTGATGTGCTGATGTGTGCCCATAATTATGAAAGTGGTCTAAGTCATATATTTTTTGTTTCGAAATTACATTGAATTAATTTCGTTTGAAATAATATGGCGTGAAATAACTGATAAACTCATTTTTTTTTTTAATTTTGACTTAGACCAATTTCATAATTATGGGCACATGTCAGAAGTATAAACACCCGCGAATAAATAAATTAAAAATTCCAGAGAGATCTCCGGCTGTTCTTTCTGTGGAATTAATCGAAATTGACCCCTTAAGGTGATGTGAAACCCCCTTCAAATCAGTCGATTTGAATACAACACTTTTTTTTATGGGTGTTAGACCAAACTGTCCGAAACTTTGACACATCACTCCTGATCATCTAAGAATTGTCCTGACACATTGAAAATTTGGATTTTTCAAACAAATTTTTTAACTCATTCCAGACCAGAACCAAAATCGCGTCGAGCTCTCATATTTCGATCAATATATAATTATCGAAGGCTCTGATATGAGAATCGAAAGGGTCAGGACAATTTTACGACAATTTAGAACACTCTGGTAATCGATAAACTCGCATTTGAACGGGATAAAGGCAAAAAAAGTGTTGTATGCGCTTCTATGCTAAAACGATGGTAATACGAGGTCTCGGAGTGAAAATTTAATTGACCTGGAAATCACAGATGGCGCAGGGGGTCCCTCCGCAGTCAATTAGGGCCCCAGAAGGCACGAATCCAGAGGATTTCTGGAGTTTTACTTCGATTTCTTTATAATTATTGTAGGAAAACGACAGGTGGAATATGCCATTTGGTACAATACACAATATAATTCGACCCAGCTGTCAATATAAAAACCAACGTCGGCAACTTAGGCATTTAGAAAAATCTTCTTTACCGACGTCGATCAAGTTCCTCGATGTGTTTCAATTCGCCTTAATGATTCCTCATTTTCAGCCGCCTAGGAGTCTCTGGGGAAGATGAAGAGCGGTCAGCTGGGCCTCCTCCTCTGGAAGAATTATGTCGTGCGAAAAAGGCAACCGGTAGGTTTTAAAATTATCTTTGGCTCATTGATCTGGGTATCGATCTTGTAAGGGTCTTGTCGAGACGATCGGATAAGTCCATGTTTCGGCCCCGATGACCCATGGATTTTTTTTTCTCAGGGCATCCTCGGACTGGTGTTCCTGTGGCCGGTCGCCATCTTCCTGATCCTCTTAACTGTGAGGGAGAACGTTGATCCGGATTACTATCCGACATGCCAGTTCCCGTCGAGACGAATGCCTCACGATGGATTGCTCCCCTTCGTCCAGAACTTCGTCTGCACGGTCGGCAACCCCTGCGAGCCGTTGTCGGAGTACGAGGACGTGCCATCCTTCGGGACCTCCACGTGAGCGGCCATCTTTGAACTACCTAACCTCAAATCTCGGAGTAGATCCGCAGACCTCAGGATTCCCTTTACTTCTTATCCGTGATTCCTTTCCTCTAGCTCTTCTCCAGTTGGTTACGATTTCTTTGATTCTAACTCCTTGTTAGAAGATTTTTTACCTCCATCTCGTGATTTCTGTTTTTCAATTATATCCCAATTAAATGAATTTTCTAGTCCTAGTTCACGGTTTCAATTTTTTTTTCTCTTTCAATTTCATCGTCATCAGAACTTTTGTAGCTGTATCTCAAGATTAGGATTTTTGTCGTTGTATTCCGTGATTACATTTTTTTTTTAGTTCGACCTTACAGTTTCAATTCGTTAAGTACATGATGATCATAAACACAACATGATCATAAACCTCGTCCTTATTCTTGCAGATTAGGACCCCTGATGATGAGGATGCAGACCTCAGGATTTCCTTTACTTCTTATCCGTGATTCCTTTCCTCTAGCTCTTCTCCAGTTGGTTACGATTTCTTTGATTCTAACTCCTTATTGGAAGATTTTTTACCTCTATCTCATGATTTCTGTTTTTCAATTATATTCCAATTAAATGAATTTTCTAGTCCTAGTTCACGGTTTCAATTTTTCTCTCTTTCAATTTCATCGCGATCAGAATTTTTGTAACTATATCTCAAGATTAGGATTTTTGTCGTATCCCGTGATTACATTTTTTTTTAGTTCGACCTTACAGTTTCAATTCGTTAAGTACTCTCTCGGAACTGGAATTTTTCAGCTGAATTTCATGATTACTATTTTCCTAATTTTATCTCGTGACCATATATGTTTTTAGTTCCATCTTTTCAGTTTTCAAGTTCCGTCTCATGATCATAAATCTCGTCGTTATCCTTGCAGATTAGGACCCCTGATGATGAGGATGCAGACAATCCTGGAGAACGACACCAGACTAGACGCCGTGGAGACGCTACCAAAGGGCATCCGACTCATCAAATCCATGGCGGAGATCCTGACGAGGCCGGACATAAAGAAGATCTTCGGTGAGACATTTCAGACTCCTTGAGGAGCATCCTTCCTAAACGGCGGGTCTTGCGTCTCTCCTAATGCTCGTTATTATCCTGACGCTGGTTTCATTCGTCTAGAAAGGGGCCTTCGAGTCGGGGATATCTTCAAGAACCGTAAGGATGTCAAGGAGTTCCTGCGGTCGCGGGTGCCGGGTCTGAAGGACGATTTAATCGACGGCGTCTTCGACGCCTCGGTGAAACTGTCCAGCGTGAGTAGTATCTTAGGATTACCCAGGATTAAGGTGAAGTGAAACATCCTTCAAATCAGTCGATTCGAATACAACACTTTTTTTTAAGGGCATTAGACCAAACTGTCCGAAACTTTGACACATCCCTCCTGATCATCTAAGAATTGTCCTGACACATTGAAAATTTGGATTTTTCAAAACAATTTTTTAACTCATTCCAGAGCAGAACCAAAATGGCGTCGAGCTCTCATATTTCGATCGATATACAATTATCGAAGGCTCTGATATGAGAATCGAAAGGGTCAGGACAATTTTACGAGAATTTAGAACACTCTGGTAATCGATAAACTCGCATTTGAACGGGATGAAGGCAAAAAAAGTGTTGTATGCGCTTCTTTGCTAAAACGATGGTAATACGAGGTCTCGGAGTGAAAATTTAATTGACCTGGAAATCACAGATGGCGCAGGGGGTCCCTCCGCAGTCAATTAGGGCCCCAGAAGGCACGAATCCAGAGGATTTCTGGAGTTTTACTTCGATTTCTTTATAATTATTCTACGAAAACGACAGGTGGAATATGCCATTTGGTACAATACACAATATAATTCGACCCAGCTGTCAATATAAAAACCAACGTCGGCAACGTAGGCATTTAGAAGAATCTTCTTTATCGACGTTGATCAAGTTCCTCGACGTGTTTCACTTCACCTTAATATTTGCAACAGTGGTATTCGAAATAAGGGAACTCGACAGTTTCGCATCAAGTTGCAAAAATCAGAATAACAATTGATCAGAATAACGATTGATCTTTCAGCTGATCGAGTCGGTGGGCTCCGTCAACGTAGAGGAGACCGTTTGCTCCCCGGAGATGCTGAAGAGGTACCTGATCCTGGAGAGGGAGGAGGACCTCTTCAAGGTGTCCAACGCTCTCTGCAATGTCGACCCGAAAATGCTTCCTGGGATCCTTGAACACGCCTCGAAGCAGCTGGATTTCGTCGGCCTCCTGAAAATGGTGAACCGGGTGATGGCCAAGTTTCGGGATTACGACCTCTTCCAGGACCTCAGCAAGGCTGCCGACGCCATTTTGGGCATGGAGGTCGTTCAGAAATACGTGCCGAGCTATCTCAGACTCCACGAGTGGGTGCCCAGGGTTATTCCTCTCTTCAGGAACGTCACCTTCAAGCAGATCGACCTTCTCTTGTGAGTTCGGGACTCTTTTTCCTCCTCTTCGGGCACTGCACGTTATCTTTCTCTTCCACTGTATAATCAGGATTTTTATATATATCTCTTCAGCATCAACAAATCTTTGTCAGTGCTGGACCCCATTTTCGCGAACGAGACCGATTGGCCCATCGCTCGGGAGGGATTCCTCAGGATGAACACCTTGTTGGAGATGTTGAAGGCCATCCTCAGCAATAACAATAGATCTTCAGACCCCGAGCACTCCGATCTTCATGGTGATGATTTCAATCCCTTCTCGTGGGATCCGAAAAGGATCAACGAGGTCGCCAAGATCCTGGACGCCGCGTACATGGTTCTCCAAAATGGCGTCAAGCTCACCGGGAAGATCCTCACGAGGCACGAGGACGACATACAGATGTATTTATTTCCCTTCACTCCTTAGATTTAGAAAATCCGGAGATTGGACATTTTTGTAAAAGCTTATTCGCTCTTTTTCTTGGATTTTATCTCAAGATCCCCCGACGTCCTCGACGCCCTCTGGGACTTTTTTTCTCAGAACATCATGAGCACCGGGACGCATTTAATCGCCATGATGCAAAACGTCGTCCTGGCGACCCACCACATCGCGATGCTGCACTCGGAGTCGTCTCACAGGATCTACAGAATTCTTCAGGATCACGAGGACCTCGTCAAGAGGATCTTCAGGGACCTTGATCCTGAAGTCTTCCGAGTAGCCGTGCGATCCTTCTCTCGGCTGGACTTTGTCGAGGTGAGGTGTCCTTTTTTTCCGCCGCTGATTAAAACGTGTCTTGGCAACCGAGACTGGCTGTAAAAAAATGGTGACTCAGGTGATCGGGTCTTACGAGGTCTGATTAATGCTTTTCAGAGGTTCTTGATGAGCTCCAGAAAGTCGGGGCCTGGGAAATTATTCTGCAAGAAGGAGACTTTGGATGAGGTTTTTAGAAATTTCACGGGACTTCGAGGACAGGAGGTCGTCGTCAAGGACCTCTTCTGCAGCGACGAGGGGAAGCTCTTCGTCGGCGAGATTTACGACAGCTTTGAATTCAACAATTTCCGGAAAATCGTAAATTTTTGTCATACTTCGCTCTGGCTTTTTTCAGTTTTTAGTATAAGATGATTTATGATACGATTTTTCTTCAGGTTGAGAGCACGTTGTCGACCTTGATCAGCATGGCTTTTCGTCAACCGGTGCCGATCGAGAGAGCGAATGTAACTTCTGCCTTGAAGACCATCCGGGAGTTTGTTTCTTACTTGAAGACCGAGCCAAAGGATGATCCTGATTGGCCGATTTTCCAGCCTCCACTTAAATGGACCGAGGCTTTCGAGGACAGTCGATCCATGGGCAGGAGTGACTTGTGAGGATGCCGAAGACTGCCTCCATATTTTACCGGATTTGGCTAAAAGTTGTCCTTTTCATCCCTTCTATTTTCAGACTGGGCATTCATCTCACCATAACCAAGATGGTCGGGTCTCGAAGTCTCTCGTTTATAACCATCAAACCTGACCTAGAGAATATGGACGTGCTGGCTGATAGTGTCCTGAAGGACCTTCGCGAAAGTCCCACAAACTGGATCAACGATATAAGGTTCCACCTCTTCGAGATGTTGGAATCGTTCTACCTGACGGTCACTGATAGGCCAAAGGTGTGACGAAGTTCGGTTATAAATAATTTACAGTTTTAATTCTACTAGATGCTTTATTAAAATAATACGTGTTTCGCCTTATAAATAGCGCATATTTTTAATTCTACTGGATATTTTGTCAGAATTATCCATTTCCAAGATGGCGGCTCGAGTTCCAGACGGAGGCTTATGTAAGAATTTTCTCTTTTCAGACCTTGAAGATTTTGGAGTACTCCAACTTCACGGATGCATACTGCACCCCGACTGCACCTAATCTCTTGAACTTCCCTGAAGGATCGGATTCCAGGCTTTTGAAGCGATTGGTGTGTCGATCTGCGAATTTGGCCTTGAGGAAACTCGAGTTGAACACCACCCAGGTGAAGCTTGAAGAAGAGGAACTGAAAGGGGCCAAAGACTTCAACTGGACCGCATTTAATGAGAAGATAGTCGTCATTTATGGATACATCGACTCCCTCGTCCAATGGAAGGACCCAAAATTCAACAGCACGGCCTTGAAGATGTTGAAGTCAGACTTTGTCGAGTCTTGGACGCAGAATGTTACCTTGAGCGAGTCCGTGGAAATTAGGTACGCTAAACGTGTTCCAAGTCGCTTCTTCAGGATTTACCTCTGAACGACGTGAAATAGGAATTTAATTATAGTATTTAAGGTGAAGTGAAACATCCGTCAAATCAGTCGATTCGAATACCACACTTTTTTTTAAGGGTATTGGACCAAACCGTCCGAAACTTTGACACATCACTCCTGATCACCCAAGAATTGTCCTGACACATTGAAAATTTGGATTTTTCAAAAAAATTGTTTAACTCATTCCAGACCAGAACCAAAATGGCGTCGAGCTCTCATATTTCGATCAATATACAATTATCGAAGGCTCTGATATGAGAAGCGAAAGGGTCAGGACAATTTTACGAGAATTTAGAACACTCTGGTAATCGATAAACTCGCATTTGAACGGGATAAAGGCAAAAAAAGTGTTGTATGCGCTTCTTTGCTAAAACGATGGTAATACGAGGTCTCGGAGTGAAAATTTAATTGACCTGGAAATCACAGATGGCGCAGGGGGTCCCTCCGCAGTCAATTAGGGCCCCAGAAGGCACGAATCCAGAGGATTTCTGGAGTTTTACTTCGATTTCTTTATAATTATTGTACGAAAACGACAGGTGGAGTATGCCATTTGGTACAATACCCAATATAATTCGACCCAGCTGTCAATATAAAAACGAACGTCGGCAACGTAGGCATTTAGAAAAATCTTCTTTATCGACGTTGATCAAGTTCCTCGAAGTGTTTCACTTCACCTTAATATCGTGCCTTTTTTAATTGTCTGGTAAATGAAAATTGAAAGTGAAGTTTTTATTGGCGTTCACAAAGATGATGTCTCCATACTTTTATGCAGCGTAGGTCTCCTGTGCAAGCTCTTCGATGTGATGGAGCGTCCTTTATTCGGGATCCAGCTGAAGCCGGAGTGGAAAACCGTATATTCCTTAGCGTGGGCAGCGGATGTCGTCTTTCGAGATGTCGAAAACGTGGTGGACCGGATTCTGTCTAAAAACGGGTCCGCAGATCTTTCGGACATCCTTTATGATTTACCTCAGACCGCCATTTTGACGGAAGTGCTGCTAAGAAATTTGGCCCCACTCACTCTGGATCTCGTCGATGCAGGGACCTTAATGACGCCAGTGCACTTTGTAAGATGAATTTCCTAATCTAAGAATGGGACTAACAATAAGCTAAATTGAGCCTAAAATTTTTTAGCTTAAAATTTTTCTTACTATCTTCACTTTACATTGACTGTGCAGATTTCCGCCATCTCTAAGTACAAAGAACGAGAGCCCCATTGGCCTTGCATTCATGCAGAGAGCCTTGGAAGTGTCCTCGAATTCAGGAATGGCAGTCGTCAAGTGATTCGTGAGATCGAAAGGATATTGTGCAATCCAGGACTGCTCCTCAGGGAATGGGAGGAACATCCTGTCCTGTCGAAAGTTAATAAAATTGTGAGTGGTTCTTGTATTTCAATATTTCTGCCTTGTTTAGACGCTTCAATTGAATTTAAGGTCCTCGAGGAGTGACGAGCGAAATGGGACTTGTTTTTATAGTCCTGGTCTTGATCTTGAATTTCTTCGTCATTGTTCTTGGGGTAGGTTTTTCCTTCTCGAGTTATTAGAATCATCGATCGATCGATTCGACTCCAGGTGCACCTGTCCTGTCGAAAGTTAATAAAATTGTGAGTGGTTCTTGTATTTCAACATTTATGCCTTGTTTAGACGCTTCAATTGATTTTAAGGTCCTTGAGGAGTGATGAGCGAAATGGGACTTGTTTTTATAGTCCTGGTCTTGATCTTGAATTTCTTCGCCACTGTTCTTGGGGTAGGTTTTTCTTTGTCGAGTTATTAAAATCATCGATCGATCGATTCGACTCCAGGTGCACCTGTCCTGTCGAAAGTTAATAAAATTGTGGGTGGTTCTTGTATTTCAATATTTCTGCCTTGTTTAGACGCTTCAATTGAATTTAAGGTCCTTGAGAAGTGATGAGCGAAAGGGGACTTATTTTTATAGTCCTGGTCTTGATCTTGAATTTCTTCGTCATTGTTCTTGGGGTAGGTTTTTCCTTCTCGAGTTATTAGAATCATCGATCGATCGAATCGACTCCAGGTGCACCCGTCCTGTCGAAAGTTAATAAAATTGTGAGTGGTTCTTGTATTTCAATATTTCTGCCTTGTTTAGACGCTTCAATTGAATTTAAGGTCCTTGAGAAGTGATGAGCGAAAGGAGACTTGTTTTTTTAGTCCTGGTCTTGATCTTGAATTTCTTCGCCACTGTTCTTGGGGTAGGTTTTTCCTTCTCGAGTTATTAAAATCATCGATCGATCGATTCGACTCCAGGTGCACCAGGACGAGTCCGTGGAGATCTCCTCCTTCAATTGGACAGCTGGATACAGGAAACTGCGACGTTTCGACGGGAAGATGAATCTCCTGTTAAACCAGACGATAGTCCTGGTCGACGTACCCGATCTGCTGAATTACACCAGAAAGTTCCTGCCGGAAGTTCGCAGGATAATCCGGGAGAGGACGCCAAAGGCGAATCGCACGATCTGGTGAGGATGACTGCGGTTTACCTAAAGTAAAAAAAATAAATATACCTATGGCCAGGAACCAGCGATAAAGAAAATGTACATAATGCGTGGCTTTTCTAGTATTGAAAAAAAAAAAAATATTAAAACTTTTAGTCTTATACAGTACTGCAGAATGTATGTTTCTAACCTCCGGGAGAAAGTGGAAATCCAGAGGGTTGTGGGTACTGGATGGCACATGGCTCCAGCTCGAGCGCCTTTGTTATGTCATCCATTATTTCGAATTTCTTGATTAATGTGTTCAGTGGAAATGTAAAATGATGCAGAATAATAGTGGACGTCCATTTTAGGACGGTGATGGACTATATCGATCAGGAGATCGACAAAAGCGTGGAGGTCTTCAGGAGTAACAAATCAGCGAGCTCCATTTGGAACAATCGGAAAAGGTCCCCGAAGGACCTTGACGATGTCTTGGTCTTAGGGAAGTTCATCTCCCACGTGGCCCACGAATCCGTGGCTCTGGTTTCTAACATTCTTCGGGAAGGTAGAACTGCATAATAGGAACTTCTCGACCCTGAAGAGCGATGGCTAATTTATTAGGCATTTTTCAGACTCCGAGGCGATTAATCTCTTCACCTTGCTGGGCTTCACCGAGGGCAGTTCGATTTCGATTGCCTATAATCGACTTGCATACATCCTGGCGACTTTCATCAGCGGCTTGTCCGATCCTCTGTTCGAGAATCGATTGTCTCGATCCCTGGCGAACAGGAGGATGCCGAGTATATCCTGCTCGGACATATTCTCCTGGTTCGCCGACTTCAGGATCGGCATCACCACCGAAGAGTACCGGACCCTGAAGAACTTCACCTGCGACGGCGACCCGGAGAACTTCAACGCCTTCACCGACCTCTACATCCAAGAGATGACGACCTGGAGGAAGCCAACTTCAAGCTACAGATCCCACTTCTTCAGCACCGCGAGAGACCTCCACGACGTGGTGAAACTCGCCATGAAGACTGTCAATAAGAAGGTACCGATCGTCCAACCGTTCTCCAGGAAGTACTTCGAGAAGACCTTGTACACCTTGAAGAACGTCCTGGAAGCGCGGCGGAACAACGGCCTGATGTTCAAGGTACCATTTCCCACCCTTGAAGACGTAAATTAATGAAGGATCATTTGAAACAGGGGTTAACGTAATTTTTTTTCTTTTTTTTCAGAACCTGAAGACGGAGCCAGACCTGAGGAACTACCGATTGACAATGGAAGGCCTAGCCGAGATTTTGTCCCACGTGGCGACGGCTTTGGAGAACGCGAAGGTCGGGAATAACGAATTGAACAGTTGGCAGTTGGTGGAGGAGAGTGACGTCCGGCAGCTTTTGAAGCTCCTTGAAGCCCACCCTGAAGAGACCATCACCTTGATGGCGACCATTGGTCGAGTCAACGCGACCAATCCTAACAATGCGACCTTCAGGGAGACCAGGAAGGAATTATGCCAATTCCGTATCGAACAACGATATTGGATCCAGCCCAACGCCACCCACTTCCTGAACGAAGTTTGCTCCTACGACCCGTACCAGTTGCTGAAGAGCGTCACCAGCGATGAGTTCCTTGTGTGTAAAAAAAGAATACAATGAGTAGTTTCGGGACTCTCTGTACAATTTAAGAGTTTAGGTAGCTGAAGAGGTGATTCTCTTGCAGGACGTCATCCTGGACCGAGCGTCGACCCTGAAGACCAACGAGACCTTGATCTCTTCAGTGACGAGACTGGTGACAGCCCTCTTGAACTTGAGTCAAAGACATCCAGGACTCGTCTTCAGGTCGAATATCGTCAACGGCACCACCTGGAGGAATCTATCCAACGAGACCTGGGCCGTGATTCGCCGAACCACGAAGTCCTGGATGAACGAGATCATCGTGGCCAACAGATCTTCTACTGGGAGCTCAACCCCGAAGACTGTCAATGAAGTTATAGGCAATGTTGTGCTGTCATTGTTCGAGCAGAACCCCATGAAGCCGGCCAGTAGGGTTCTTCAGATACTCAGCCACCTGGTGGACCTGTCTTCTGGCGGCGATGTTTGGCAGAAATTGAGGACCATCTACGAGGGGTCGAGGATAAAGCCACTACTCAACATCGTGGAGGACATGCCTAATCTCGTAATCACTTTCGTGGACACTTTCATTAACTCCGACAGGCTGAGCGACTTCGTGGGGAAGCTGATGAAGGGGGAAGCGACCTTTTGTAACCTGGATAAGTATTTAATAACGCCAGGGTTCATGAGGAACAAGGGTCTCCTGTCTACCATCAGCAGCTTTTGTCAGAGGATCGTCCTGCACCCGGAACCCCTGATCGCCCTCGATTTCTTTCCCGTAGACCTGAAGAGCGAGGTATGTATCCTAGCGACCCTGAAGTGTCGGGTTTTTGGAAAGGAATCCGAAAATTGAGGAAAAAATATACTTCCAATGCGAGTCGAAAAACTCGTGGCTAAAGAAAGTCCTCTTAGCGAGATTGATTTATTTATTATTTATATTATAAGGTTAATAATTGACATAAGAAATTGTTTAGGCGAGTCAATTTATCGCAACGAGTGTGGCCATTTACAGACCGAAGGGTCCTGGAAAGGAGACGTCGATAGGCTCTCGATTCCTGGAAAGGGAACGTCGATAGGCTCTCAATTCCTGGAAAGGGAACGTCGATAGGCTCTCAATTCCTGGAAAGGGAACGTCGATAGATTCTCGATTCCTGGAAAGGGAACGTCGATAGGCTCTCGATTCCTGGAATGGAAACGTCGATAGTCTCGATTCCTGGCTCGAGTCGGGCAATCGATTACGAGGGGATTGACCAATTTGCGATTTCCATTTGCAGGTCGATCATTACGCCTACAACGTCACGAGCAAAGTCGGCTCGAACGAGTCGGTCGTCTTGAAGTTAAACGAGACCTATTTGCTGGAAAAGTTGGACCGATTCCAGAGCTCCGTGATCCGGGCCTCGTCGGAGCCCTTCAGGAAGCCGAAGGTCCCGACGTGGTGGACGTCCTTCGAGGAGGGTACCCTGAAGGACTTCCTGAAGCTGTATGGTAGCAAGGTGAGGGACGGGGATCCTCCTCTTCCGGCGTCTCTTCGCGTTCTCTGACAAAGCCGATACTTTCCAGGACCTCCACGAGCTGTCTCACACCTCCGTGAAGAGGGCGACGGCGATCCTGAAGAGCGTCCTCGACTCCTATTCCAAGTAAATTCCAACGCTTTGTTCGGCTCATCGGCTCGAGGGGACGCCGGAAGTCTTGACAAAAGGTCTCTCTCTTCGAATTTGCAGGAAGTGCGACTGGTGCTCCAACGTCCTCCTCCGGGCGATCAATTCCCAGCTGGCGAGGCACGCGAACTACACCAGACTTCTCTGCGACTTCAACCTCTTCAGCTTTGCTCAGGTCCAGGACACCCTGGCCCGGGACTTCGGCTGGAACGAAACTTTCGACCTGGTGGGCAAGGATCCCTGATTATGAGAAAATCCCACGGAGAGATTCATGACTTAAACTGTTCTTTCTCCCAGCTCAGAAAACGCGACCCTGAAGAGGGGACCCTGCAAGACCTGGTGTCGGCCTTCGAGGTCACTCTTCATCATCTGACCGACCTTCTGCTGGACTTGTTCAGTCCTTCTGGACGAGTCAAGTCCTCGAGCTGCTTCTTCACTGTCGCGAATACCACATCCTTCCACAGGCCGAAATTGTGAGTAGTCATGATCAACAAGTAATAATGACAAGATATTAATGATGACAATTAAACAATTGGAATGACGAATGATTCGACTTTTAGTTACGTCGCTCTCCTTTTGGGCGGTCTGGAAGTTTTGTACAAGAACGTGGAAATGCTGGACACCACGGCGCACCATGAAGAGCTGACGGAGATGGCGAAGTTGGCCGAAAAGAGGGTGCCAATCTGGAAGCCTCTTCGGGATGTCGTGGCCAAGGCTGATCAGGACCTCGTCGACAAGCTTCTTCCCGAAGCCAGCATCAACGTGAACATGATGATGAAGGATGGCCACCCGACGTTGTGCAACTCGTCCGAAATTTGCCGAAATTCCTCCGTCTTCTACAACTTCCTCAGCTCTAAGCGAGCACCTAGATTCGTTAGATACGACCCTAGGGCGTCGAATTTCGAGAGTGTTTCGAAGATCTCCGAGACACTGGCTAGGAGTTTGGATTTGGAGCTGATCGAACGGATGGGTCCGACCTGGAGGCAAGAAACAAACTGGGACTTCACCTGGCTGAAGGAGTTGCTGAAACATTTAATGAACGTCCTCGAGGAGAGCGGGAGTCTCCTGGACACTGCTAGTAAAATCGATTTCGAGAACGTCTCCAACATCCTGGGAATCCCTGAAGTGGGCGACGGGATAATCAACATCCTGAGGAACAAAACCGTCGACAAGCTTTTCCAAGGGTGAGGGTCCTTCCCTTATTTCATTTTATGGTCTTGAGGTTCTTAGGTTTATATTTTTATACACAGGCTGACCGAGATCCTGGACAATGTGGAACCTTTTGTTAAGGACCCAGAGTTGATGAAGAGCCTGCGAGATATGCTGGGCGTTGTGGAGTCGATGGAGATCTTCAAGAACCTGGGGCTGTTGGACATGAAGCGTAGGTACCTAGACAGTAGGTAGATAGTATTTATAGTTATCCTTTCTCGTGGTCTGCAGACACCATAAAAAATGTCTTCAACAACTGGGACTCCCTGATGACGTATCTCGTCGAGAAGGTCAACATCCCGAAGGAGGTGGCGGCGAGTCTGGGCGAAGCCAAGCTGGACATGCTCTCAGTCTTCCTGAAGGAGAGGAACGTCGTAGGCTTGAAGAGCACCTTCTGTTCTCCAGAAGAGTTAGCCGACATTTTCAGTTTCGAGAACACGACGGTCACTGCTGAGGAAATCAGCGAATCTCTTTGCCAACTGGATGACAGTCAGACGCAGGACATCATGGTCGCCATAATCCGAAATCTGGACTTCGGGTACCTCTTCGACAACGTAGGAATACTTTCTTCTTCTACCTATTCTGTTCCCTAAGTCATGAGCAAAATTGGTCTTGGCCTTAAGGTGAAGTGAAACACCCTTCAAATCAGTCGATTCGAATACAACACTTTTTTTTAAGGGTACTAGACCAAACTGTCCGAAACTTTGACACATTACTCCTGATCATCTAAGAATTGTCCTGACACTGATTCAAAATTTGGATTTTTTAACAAAATTTTTTAACTCAGCCCAGACCAGAACCAAAATGGCGTCGAGCTCTGATATTTCGATCAATATACAATTATCAAAGGCTCTGATATGAGAATCGAAAGGGTCAGGACAATTTTACGAGAATTTAGAACAATCTGGTAATCGATAAACTCGCATTTGAACGGGATAGAGGCAAAAAAAGTGTTGTATGCGCTTCTATGCTAAAACGATGGTAATACGAGGTCTCGGAGTGAAAATTTAATTGACCTGGAAATACACAGATGGCGCAGGGTGTCCCTCTAGAGTCAATTAGGGCCCTAGAAAGCTTGAATCCAGAGGATTTCTGGAGTTTCACTTCGATTTCTTGATATTTATTATACGAAAACGACAGGTGTAGTATGCCATTTGGTACAATACACAATATAATTCGACCCAGCTGTCAATATAAAAACGAACGTCGGCAACGTAGGCATTTAGAAAAATCTTCTTTATCGACATCGATCAAGTTCCTCGACGTGTTTCACTTCACCTTAACAAAAATCCCAGAGTGGAAAATGTGCAAGAAGAAGGTCAGTTTTGCTCATCGGCATCGTGAATTAAATTCAAGAATGCGGAGTGTAAAAAGTGGTCGGGAATTTTAGCTGATGAGCGCCAACGTGAAGAACATCCTGGCGAACGCCAACCTGACCAAAACCGAGGGGGACGCCATTTTCAAAAACATGGGAGTCGTTTCCGAAATTCTACCCCTCTTCAAGGATAACCTACCTAGTGTCACGGCATCTTCAAGGGTCGCAGACGAAGACGAGCTTGAAGAGTACCTCAGTAAGTCGATTCTCTTCTCCTAGGGTCAGTACCTGAAGAGATGATTGTATAAAAAAAAAAAAAAAAAAAATTCGTGGCTTCTTCAGGTGGCAAATTCCTGCAAGACGCGAGTGGAATGATCTGTGGAAGACCACTGGTCACTGATAGCAGCACTTTTTATCGCGTCCTCTCCAGCATCGAGGACAACATGAAGAACTTCGACCAAAGGGAACTCGAGTCCTTGCCAAGTAAGACCTTGAAATGTGTGGAAATTTCTTTCCGCATGAATCAGTAGACCTTGAGATTGATAACAGGTACATTGTCATTTTTCTAGCCGACTTCTGCCGAGAAACGTACAAAAGTGTCTTGAGGATGAGCGGAGGGAAGATCATCTGGTCGTACGTGAAGCCTCTTCTTCGGGGTCGCATTTTGTACTCCCCGAAGACGAAGGTCACCGAAAAAGTGATGAACCTCGCAAACGGGACCTTCGCCCAGATGGAAAGACTCCACGTGATGCTGGGGGGTTTCGAGGAGACCCTGACATCCTTGGGAGACCTCGCGGACATGGGAGAGAACCTGAAGGACCTGCAAGAAGTGATGTCTTCCAAGGTCATGAAATTAGCGGTGAAGTCTCTGAGTAAAGAAGACTTCAATGGGGATCTATCGGGTCTAGATCTGAGCGAAGTCGCTTGGAGGATGAGGAGGTCGAAGAAGGTGATTCAGATGGTGAAGATGTTGAACGAGCTTCTGGACTGCGTCCTTGTGGACCGGGTCAAAGGATTCGGGACTGAAGAAGAACTTGAAGCCGAAGCTGGCAGGCTGATGGACACCAACGAATTTTTGGCTGGCGTCGTTTTCCTGGATGAAGGACCAGGACGATCCAAGAGGTCCTTGGACGATGCTCTTCCTCAGGACGTGACGTACAAGATCCGCATGGATGTGGATTACGTCCCTTCGACGGCGAGGCTGAAGAAGCAGTTTTGGATCCCGGGTCCTGAGAGCAGCTTCGTCGATGATCTCAGATATCTGAGAGGGTTTGTGCAGCTGCAGGACACCATCGACAGGGCTATCGTGAAGCTGAAGACAGGACGCGAGGCAAAGTGGAAGACCCTTAATCGGCAGATGCCGTATCCTTGCTGGGAGGACTCTTCGTGAGTGACTATGAAATCTCTAAATTTCATATACACGGTTTATACACATTTTATACATTTTACTGGGATTCATATCTCTGCTGCGAGGACTTTCCGTAAGTGGCTTTTTTTCATGATACCTCTTACATTTCAGTAATGTTTTATAACAATAAGGCGATGTAAAAGTGGCGTTTATGAAATTTATTCCTCCATATTTGCACGATCATGTTTTCAACGAAGTTCATATTTCACTTTCAACCCCCCTTCAATATTTTAATAATTTAATAACGTCTATTACGCACTCCCTTCAGATTCGTCTCCACTCTCTACGAGTCCCAGGGTGTGCAAGTCTTCTTCTTCTTCGCCCTGATGATGTGTGTGGGATCAGCAGTGAAGTACATCGTCTGGGAGAGAGAATCTCAAAATGCAATGGTACCATTATTAGAATTATGAATATTAACGTTTTGATACACATAGAAGGGACATGACACCTTAAGGTGAAGTGAAACACCCTTCAAATCAGTCGATTCGAATACAACACTTTTTTTTAAGGGTATTAGACCAAACCAAGAATTGTCCTGACACATTGAAAATTTGGATTTTTCAAACAAATTTTTTAACTCATTCCAGACCAGAACCAAAATGGCGCCGAGCTCTCATATTTCGATCGATATACAATTATCGAGGGCTCTGATATGAGAATCGAAAGGGTCAGGACAATTTTACGAGAATTTAGAACACTCTGGTAGTCGATAAACTCGCATTTGAACGGGATAAAAGCAAAAAAAGTGTTGTATGCGCTTCTTTGCGAAAACGATGGTAATACGAGGTCTCGGAGTGAAAATTTAATTGACCTTGAAATCACAGATGGCGCAGGGGGTCCCTCCGCAGTCAATTAGGGCCCCAGAAGGCACGAATCCAGAGGATTTCTGGAGTTTTACTTCGATTTCTTTATAATTATTGTACGAAAACGACAGGTGGAATACGCCATTTGGTACAATACCCAATATAATTCGACCCAGCTGTCAATATAAAAACCAACGTCGGCAACGTAGGCATTTAGAAAAATCTTCTTTATCGACGTTGATCAAGTTCCTCGATGTGTTTCACTTCACCTTAAAGCACCTATACCACCATGACGTCTCCCCAAATTTCAGGTGATGAGTGTGATGGGTCTGAAGCCATGGTGGAACACCCTCTCCTGGTTCATCACCACCATGATCGAGTTCAGCATAGTGATGGTTTCAATTTTCACGATTCTGATCGCTGGAAAAATCCTGCCACGTTCCGATCCCTTCCTGGTCTTGATTCTTCTGCTGGATTACGCCTTCTCGACGGTGACTTTTTGGTAAAAAAAAAAAAAAAAAGAAGAAAGGGGAAAAAGTCCCTTTGAAATTACCTCCATCATTCGCCACCGCCGACTGCGGAGATCCGTTCACGTGGCTGGCGGCAATTAATTAAAATTAATTACCGCGCGGTAATTTATCGACCCGGGCTCATTGAACGGGTCGACATTATTTCCCCGTTTCCTTTTACAGCTACATGATATCCACGATGTTCAGTTCAACGAGTCTGGCCGCGGTTACTGCTGTGGTGATGTTCCTCTTGACGTACATGCCCTACGTGATCGTCATCGCGATGGAGGCCGCCATGGGGTTCGGGTACAAGCTCCTCATCGTGAGTTACGTCCTCATGCCCTGAGGAAATAAATATCACAGTTAAGGCGATGTAAAAGTGCCCGCAAAGAGTTCTCGGCCATGAAAGTTTTCTCCAAAGTGGGTGTCGATCCCGAAATCGATTTTACAATATTAATATGGAGGGTGTAAGGAAGGTCCTGACACCCATTTCTCACGTTTCAAATTTCGTTTGTACACATTTTTTTAATTTACAGTAAACAATGACATTTTTTATGTCGCCTTAGAGAAATGTCTTCGGGGCTTGCTTTATCAGGTGTTTCTCTTGTATATAGTGCCTCAGCATGTCCACGACATTTTGTTACGGGTGTCTCTTCACCGTTCGTAAAGAGGTCCAGGGCACTGGGATGCAGTGGAATCATCTTTGGGCCGAGCCGAGTCCTGGGGATCAGATGTCCTTGGGCCTCGTCCTGGGATTGATCGCCTTGGATGGGTGCATATACGCTCTGATTGGGTATCTCGTCGCCAGGTACACTAACTCAGGTGAAAAACGTCGATTTAGTATCTACAGAAAATTTCATTCCGGATTTCGGTACTCAAACCCGCGAAGGAAGAATATAAATCCTGAATTTCGATAACGCCAGCCGAGTGGCCTGTAAAAAATTACGAAGTTCAGAATTTCTACCTTTAACTGAGATTTTCTTGGCTAGCTAATATTCCACCACGAGGAAATTGATTGAAAATAACTGGCATTACCTGACGTGGGACGCCGCCATTTTGTTTTTCAAATTTATCCTTAATGTTGGCACAACTAATATCTGCAAGGCGTTGTGACAATTACGAAGACCTTCTTGTTACAATCGTGATATTTCTGATAATGCAAGAAACTGCACTTACCAGGATTAGGTCGCCATGTTGTTCTCCACTTGAATTAATTCCGCGGACCTCCGCACTGTTTCTCCCCCTTTACCCCACTTACCATGGATTTTCGTCTTTTACTTACGGTTTCGTCTTACACTCACAATTCTTGTCTCTCTTTGTGGTGACCAACTTTCTGGTGGAGGTATTTGTGGCCGGTAACCGAAGTAGAGCCCTTAGTCTGTGTCTTTGACAAAATGGCCGCCTAGAGAGGCTCTAAAGCCAGAACGACGCGATCTTGAAGAAAGGCCACCAGAAGAGACCATGCGGAGAACTGGGACCTTTGGTCCCGATATCGAAGGACCTGGACCAAGGAACCAACGACCTCCAGGTGTCCAGTGGATATCGTCTATCCTAATTTCAGGAAAGGGCTTTCATTGGTTGCGATCGCGTAGCTTATGGTGGGCCAACACTCGCGTTCTTCATGGCAGGCCAAGCTACTTCAGCATCGTCAACAACCTCTATTTCACTAACGATGCTCTGCACCCTTCGGCCACTTACCAAGGTACCACTGCATGCCAGGAAAAGGAGCTTATCCAATATCTTATATTTTTTTCCTCCGTCTTCGAAATATCCACCGCCATCAGCAATTCATCAACAACTCCCCACGGAGCCAAAGATCCCATTCCCATTTTTTAGGGTGAAAAACATCCAAAAATATTCTTTTTAAACGGCTAATAGACGTATTTTAGCTCTAAAAGTGAGGCATGACTATGAGGCTAAAGCAATTGCATGCCAGAAAAGAAGATGGCGATGAGTTCATTGTTCGTAAAGAAAATGTTCAGCATGCAGAAATCAGTTTTTCCTGCTTTTCGTCGGCAACCTCTGCTTTCTTCTTGCCTTTGGTGGTTCTTGTGCGATCCCAGATCCTTGTTCTCCTGCTGGTCCCGCGACTTTGAAGAGGATTCCTTCTTCAGCATGTCTCTCGCTTCTGATAGGACTGCGAAGTGGGGTCAGTAGAAGTGTCCTGCCAGGACCTCGTGGAGATGCTGAACGTTCGTCGTCGAGTATGTATGTGCGGCATCTTCGGGGATGCTTGATCGGTTGGTCTTCTTCGACCTCGTTTGCACGTTTCTTGGACTTGGGGCGAACGTTTGACATTTTCGAGCCGTGTCTTCGGGGTCTTTTGGGTGTTCCTTGAACTTCTGCTTCTGGATGGCAGGTGACGAAACCGACTCCAGCGGATTGACGATGAACGAGAAGGAGATCGGGGTCAGGTTCGAAGCCGTTCGCAAGGTCTTCAAGACGGACCAGGGCGAGAGTGTCGCCGTTGATGACTTTTCCCTGAAGCTCTGCGAAGGAGAAGTTACCAGTCTTCTGGGTAGGAACGGAGCCGGAAAGACGACGATCATGTAATTCTCTGAAAACTTGAAGATGTCCTGTCCATACCTAGAGAACACTTTCCACATCGGGAAACTCTGATCCACAGCAAGATGCTCACCGGGATGCTGAGCCCAACCTGTGGGGAGATTTACCTGAACGGAGAAGCAGGAAGCAAGCCAAAAATTGGGGTCTGTCCACAGGACAACGTCCTGGTGAACAATCTCACTCCCAGGGAGCACACCCTTTTCTACGCCAGACTGAAGAAACCTGAAGAGACCAACGAGCAGGAGATACTCAAGGATGTGAATTCGTAAGGGATGCATTTTTTACTAGTTAAAAAAATAAATAAATGTGGATGAAATTTTCTCATTTAACGTTTCTTTTATGGTATCCGTCCCTATCTTCAGGATGTTATCCTCGATGGAGCTCGGCAGACAAGAAAGGGAGCCAGTGTCCCGTCTCTCTGGTGGCACCAAAAGACGACTTTGCGTGGCTTTGGCGTTTCTGGGTTCCCCTAAACTTGTCATCCTGGATGAACCAGGTGCGGGGGTGGATCCTGCAGCGAGAAGGAAAATCTGGCGACTGATAGACCAACATAGACAAGGCAGGACCGTTCTCCTCTCGACCCACCACCTAGACGAGGCGGACATGTTGAGCGACACGGTGGTCATCATGCACCGGGGCAAGATTCTCTGCTCAGGTTCCCCGACTATGCTGAAGACCACCTACGGCCAGGGCTACAAGCTGATCATCAATTTTCCTCTTCACGACCCTAGAGGGACGATCGATGGAAAGAGCATAGAAGGGGTCCACTCGCTTCTTCAGGGTGTTGTGCCCAACATCCGCACTGGGGATGTTTCAGGGTCCGAAGTTGTCGTTTCCTTGCCATTCCAGGGGAAGAACGGAATAAGGAACGAGTGAGAACGCATAGTTATTAATTATATATAATTTTTTATACACATGAAAATGTGTACAATTGTTCATTTCAACCCTCTTCAGCATCGCCAAGGCGACGAGGGTCTTGGAGGAGAATCAGAAGCTCCTAGGATTCTCTCACTACACTTTGGAGTGCGACTCCTTGGAGAAGGTCTTCCTCAACATGTGTTCCAGGGCTGATAGCGGTCTTCCATATTCGAGACCCGAACATGGGAGTGTGCAAAGCGTGCGTTCTATCGGTGGGTTGAAATTCAAGGGATGATTGAATTAAATTAATTAATGTAATTGATTTTACCGCTCTCCCTGTAATCATAGGATTGTCTCTACCTGCGGACCAGCTGGACCTGATCGTCGAGGACACCCCCGCCGAGCCCTTTGTTCTTAAACAAGGTTTTGCGTTGCTGAAGAAGAGGCTTTGGCACTTTTACAGAGACTGGAGGTCCCCCTTGGCTGCTCTAATTCTGCCGACAGTTTTCGTGGCGGTCGCCATGGGATTCTCCCTGATCAGACCTCCATCCCAGGACGACCCACCATTGGCCCTATCGCCGACGTTGTACGACACCCATCCAACCTATTTCTACAGGTACTAATACAATTTACCACATAATATATAATTTAATATGATGACGTTTGAACGCCTCATCTGATTTTCTTTTCAGCATCGACAACGGAAGCGACCCTTTCTTGAAGCACATTTCTCTTCAGCTTTACGACAGATTCGGCGACGACTACGCCGGGGCTTGGCAACTCCACCCAAACGTGGGTGACGTCTTCCTCGACCTGAAATCGCGAAACTACTTCATTAGTTTAACCGTTAGATGTAATTTAACGTTAATCGTGTTACAAGGGCGTTGCAAGATGGCGGCCGCGTCGCTTCCGAGCTGATTGCGGCTGATCGGTTGAATGGATCTTTATGCCACTTAACATTAATTGGAAATACTTTTTTATAGTTATTTTGGTTTCCACTTCAGGACACCGGGACCTGTGAATGCTTTGAGGGTCGCCAGGTTTGCCATGGACTCTCGCAACCTCTCGAAGGTCTTCTTCAGACCCTTCCCGGAAGACCAACTGCGGAGTGGATAGTCTCCACTCATCAGGAGTACATGGAAAGGCGGTGAGTTATTACTTTAAGGTGAAGTGGAACACGTCGAGGAACTTGATCAACGTCGATAAAGAAGATTTTTCTAAATGCCTACGTTGCTGACGTTCGTTTTTATATTGACAGCTGGGTCGAATTATATTGTGTATCGTACCAAATGGAATATTCCACCTGTCGTTTTCGTACAATAATTATAAAGAAATCGAAGTAAAACTCCAGAAATCCTCTGGATTCGTGCCTCCTGGGGCCCTAATTGACTGCGGAGGCACCCCCTGCGCCATCTGTGATTTCCAGGTCAATTAAATTTTCACTCAGAGACCTCGTATTACCATCGTTTTAGCAAAGAAGCGCATACAACACTTTTTCTGCCTTTATCCCGTTCAAATGCGAGTTTATCGATTACCAGAGTGTTCTAAATTCTCGTAAAATTGTCCTGACCCTTTCGATTCTCATATCAGAGCCTTCGATAATTGTATATTGATCGAAATATGAGAGCTCGACGCCATTTTGGTTCTGGTCTGAAATGAGTTAAAAAATTTGTTTGAAAAATCCAAATTTTCAATGTGTCAGGACAATTCTTAGATGATCAGGAGTGATGTGTCAAAGTTTCGGACGGTTTGGTCTAATACCCTTAAAAAAAAAGTGTATTCAAATCGACTGATTTGAAGGATGTTTCACTTCACCTTAAGGTACAGAAGTAAGTGCGTTATTTAAAGTAGTGCTTCGTCTTCAGATATGGCGGCTGGTCGTTGTCGCACATGGACGAGGAGCCACTCTTCATGGTCTGGTACAACAATAAGGGACACCACTCATTGCCGGCGTATCTTAACGCCCTTAACGAAGCCATCTTCCGAGCTTCCGGTGGCCAAGGACGTCTCACCGTTATCAATCATCCCCTGAAGTTGTCCAGCGACCAGCTGAACCGCACGACTCTGTAATTCTCTTCGGCATCAAGTAGTATAAATAGACATAACGCCAATGGTCGGTTCCATAAAAAGTGAGCCCAGTATCGGGATTCACATTCACGATCTCAGATTTTCGCTGATCGAACGATGCGAGCGCCACTCGCGGAAAATCAGGGAACTCCGATATACGTCACCAAGACACTTCCTACCGACGACTTGCCAAAAATGCATTTATTATGCACAAAATGGATTATTATTTATGATTTTAACGCGATAATTTTTCATTGGAAAATTTCATCGAGGAGGTGCTCTCGGCACTAGGTCGGAAAAAAAAAATCTGAAGATCTTGGACCCCTAAATTCACTGAGTTCAATGTATGGCGTTGCATCTCCTTACACTACTTTGTGGTCTTCAGCAATCTTCAACGATATGCCCTGCGAGATTTTGTTCCTTCGGGTGAATTTTCTCTCGGGAGAGCGGCCGGAAAAAGCATGGCGGCTCGTTTGGATAAATTTTTAATTAGCGTCCCACCGAATAACCCACAAAAAGCGCGGCAGTCTTGCGATGAATCGTGGCTCTTCAGGGTCCAGGAAAATGGCTGGCGAGGTTTCGCGGAAGGTACCTCGCGATTCCGGCGTAATCTCATTAACGATTCCTCGATGGGATAGTTTTTCTTCCCGAGGGCTAATGACGCCCGTGGGACGCGTTCGGCCGCCATTGCGGAACCAAAATGGCGGCGCAGGGAAAATCTCCGACTCGCGGCGCGGTAAACATTGTTTTTCGAGCTTACGGGATCGGGCTGTCCATCTCTTTCCATCTGCTATCTCGTGCCTAGTTTGCTTTATTCCTTCGACTTCAGCAATTTTTTTTCCCGCCCCCGTTTCCGGTCGAGGTGGCTGCCTCGTCAGGAAGTCGGATTTAGGCCGACGCGCGTAGAAATAGATGCCATAGAAACTTGGACAAACGTATTTTCTTTTTTTTTTTCTTCTCTCTGGCCTCTGAACGAGATCAATTGTGCCCATAATTATGAAAGTGGTCTAAGTCAAAATTAAAAAGAAATGAGTTTATCAGTTATTTCACGACATATTATTTCAAACGAAATTAATTCAATGTAATTTCGATACAAAAAATATATGACTTAGACCACTTTCATAATTATGGGCACAATTGAATGGTTCACGTAATTTAAGTAAGATTTCCTGCGCGCAATTAAAAATCACTACTCATTGCTCCGAGAATGAAATTTCACGGAGAAATATTCCTTTGAACGAAGTAACTTAGAAAAATTTCGTAAATTCGAAGAGTAATCATATAAACCGAAATAAATTGTGTATAATTCCGTGGAGAGGTTGCGGCAAATTCATTGGAGTTCATTTGAGGTGGATAATTATTCTTCGAGTTGATGAGGTGTTTTTTATTACGAGTGGTATTTTTAATAATTGAATTATGGCCAGATTTTTATTGGGAATAGTTTTATGTGCACGTGGTTATTTTGCAAGTTTTATTTTTTAGATTTAGTGATTTTGGGGTCTTTTTTTAGACTGCAGCACGTTGCTGATGTTGGGGTTGCTTTGGTGCTGCTCATCGCCTTCAGCTTAGTCGGTGCTCAGGGAGCTCGGGAGTTGGTGCGCGAGAGGTTATCCGAAGAAAAACGCATCCTCTATCTCGCAGGAGTGCATCCCGTGACTTATTGGACCGTCGCCTTCATCTGGGACTTCCTGGTAAGGCACCCTCGGGAACCCTCGCTCGATCCTTCCCGTTTCTTTACAGGAGTCTGGAGGAAGAATGCCGAGTCCTGTCTGACGCTGAGTCGCCTTTCTGCCATTTACAAAAAGGAAAGGGTTTGTCAGCGTCCTTGTTACCTTCTTCAGTATTGCAGAAAATGTGCCTTATTCGGAATTGCGGAAAATATTCAGCCTAATTCGGAATTGCGGAAAAATCATTTGCTAGCCTAATTCGGAATTGCGGAAAATATTCAGCCTAATTGGGAATTGCAGAAAAATCATTTGCTAAATTTTAGTTTCAACAGCGTCCTTGTTACCTTCTTCAGCATTGCAGAATAAGTATGCAGATTTGTTCGAAATTGTAGAGAATTTTTAGTTGAACTTTAGTTAAGTCAGTCTCCTCGTCACCTTCTTCGCCATTTTGTAAAATCATCAGCTTCGAAATATCCTTCCCATTAACGAAAATCTTCAGCTGTGTCTAATTTTCACCAGTTCTGCCTGCCCATCTGCAACATTTCAAAAGTCTTCAAACACTCCATGCCTTTCTCTTCGGCATAGCCGCCATCTTGATTGGGAAGAAATCTTCAGTTCCTTTCTCACTTCCTTCAGAATTTCGAAGCTCTTCGCCCTCTACATCATCCTCGACCCTGCAGAGGACATTGAGAACCGGAAGCCCGAATTTCTCGATTTAATTAAACCTCTTCAAGTTCACAGAAGCCAGCCGATCCAGTCTGGGGAACTCGGGCGTTAATTCCGATTTTTCTTCGTCCTCTTCGGGCAGACTTTACGGCCGCACTTGACACTTACAAAGAAACATTCCCAAATGTCCGCCTCCGATCTTATTGAGTTTCATACATGTTGAAGAACACAAAAATCTAAGAGACACGTGTTTTTTTATATCTGCAATGGTCCACATTTAAGGGGTGAAACAACCCCCCAAAGTTTAGCGAAAAATCGGTTTTTTAAATATTTTTCGTAGGAGCAATGGAGGGATTTCGACGAAACTTTGCATAAACGTATTCTGTATAAGGACGGTGACAACACAATATTGTTCAGCAATGTTGCACCCCCTCAATGGGGTGAACTACCCTTCAGGTGACATTTTCTTGTAATATCCATTAAACAAGCACTCCTACTTAAGTTCCACTTACGCGATGTGATTGCTCGCAAAAAATTAAGAAATACGTGATTTTTCCTTTTTGCCAATAAACATTTGCACATCTGTGCTGAACAATATTGTGTTGTCACCGTCCTTATACAGAATACGTTTATACAAAGTTTCGTCAAAATCCCTCCACTGCTCCTACGAATAATATTTAAAAAACCGATTTTTCGCTAAACTTTGGGGGGGTGTTTCACCCCTTAAATGTGGACCATTGCAGATATAAAAAAACACGTGTCTCTTAGATTTTTGTGATCTTCAACATATATGAAACTCAATAAGATCGGAGGCGGACACTTGGGAATGTTTCCTTGTTTGAGGGACTTACAATAATAAGTAAAAGCCCATACACACGTATATAAGACTTTGCACTTGCGCGTTAAAGAGTCATTCCGCCTATTTTAATATTCATTATCCTGGTGGAACTGAACCGTAGGAAAAGTCGTTGGGTTGGGAAGTTGGTCGCTGGTGGGACGAGAATCCACGACCTTAATATAAGAGACTCCCCGTGGTAATTTGGGCTAATTACGTCTAGATGGTAATCACCGGTCCGTCAGGACCCCCCACGAAGTCGTTCGACCTTGTTTCCACAGATTCCCGCGGTTTCTTCCGCGGAATCGTTCCTGAAGAACGCCGAAGAGCACTTCCGCGGGGGAAGAAACTACCACGGGGACCAGGAATAAATCCTCGAGTTTAATCCGCCACGTGAATTCCTAATTAAGGCGATGTGAAAGCGACATCTCAATCGTTTACGCCGTTTTCCTCCGAACTAAGTGCACCGAATCGTTCGAAACTTCACGATGCAAATATGGAGGCCTTAAATAAGGTCTCGCCACCCATGGAATTTATAAAAAGAATACAAATGTTAATAAAAATAATGGTTTAAGAAATGAAATTTTATGAGTATCAGGACCTTCTCCATGGCCTCCATATTCACGCGGCAAGGTTGAAACGACTCGGTGCAATTAGTATATTTTTTCCACCCTTAGTTTTAAGTTGCCTTAATTATTAAGTCGCGTTAATATTGTAAAATCAATATTAATTATCGATATTTCAGGTCTTCGGGTGCTCCATCTTCTTGGCGGTGGTGGTCTTCGAGATCTTCGAGCTCCCAGCTTACGTGGCGAGACAAAATCTCGCAGCAGTCTGTCTCTTGTTGGTCCTCTTCGCGTAAGTCATCAGGATGTGAGGTGAAACATTGCGTTAAGGTCGTTACCCAGGAAGTGATTAATAATCGAACCTTTCTCCTAGGTGGGCAATGATACCCTTCACACACCTCGCAGAAAAGTTGTTCGACGACGCGACCCTGTCGAACATGGTCCTCTTCTGCGTGAACACCTTCGTGGGGGTGGCATCCTTGGCGACGATCCTGGTGATCGACATCCTGGGGAAAAGTGAGGCCTCCAGGTGCACGAGGAACATCCTGCACCACCTGCTGCTCTTCTTCCCCCAATATGCCCTAGGAGATGGGCTGGTCAGGATGGTGAAGAACGACATCACGGCGGAGTTGCTGAAGAGGTTCAACATGGACACTTATCAGTCTCCTCTAGGGTGGGAGCTAATGGGTCTCCATTACGTCCTCCTAGCTCTGGTCGGAGTAGTTCTAAATCTGGCCAACCTGGCGATAGAGTGCAGACTCTTCCCACGTTGGACCCTGAAGACCGGGTCCATCTCCTACGCGAACCTGGAGAAAGAAGAAGAAGACGTCGCCAAAGAGAGGGCCAGGGTCGAGAGAGGGATGGACGACGACGTCCTGAGGACCCTTCGGCTCAGGAAAGAGTACTCCAGTGTGTATGGGATCAACGTGGCGGTTAGGAACCTCAGTTTGGGGGTTAGGACTGGTCAGTGCTTCGGTCTTCTGGGGGTGAATGGGGCAGGAAAGAGCACCACCTTCAAGATGCTTACCACGGAGCTGAGACCCACTTCGGGGAGGATCTTCCTCAGGGGAAGAGACGTCGGAGATGGACCCCTTTGCAGTGGAGAAGTGGGGTACTGTCCACAATCCGATGCTCTGGATGGCTTCCTGAGTCCCCATCAGTGCTTGACCATCCACGGGGAAGTGTGCGGCTTGAGCGACGTCGCCAAGGTAATTTTCAAATTTGAGACTAGACCTGAAGAGGTGGTCTTGTCTCTTTTACCTTTTCCTTCCCTCCCCAGAAAACGCTTTCATCCACATCTGATTTATTATAAACATTTTGTTAACGCTACTTTCGAGCAGCATCAACTCTGCAACATGGATATGCAGATTATAAGGAAGGTCCTGACACCCAAGAAATATTAATTTTTAACTTTATTTACATACATTTCCTTTCAATTTCCTATAAGAAATGACATTTCAAGGGTGTCGCGACTTTCGTTAGGACCTCCATAACCACGTGTTAAAGTTTGATAATTACTCGCTGCAGGCGGTTTGGGGAAAAGTTTTATAAATATTTCGACTTTTTGGTATGTATTACACTTTAATAACACCTTAAGTGTGGGTGGAATATTCTAGCACTGGGATTTCGACGAGAAAAATGTGTGTCAGTCCTGTACCTTGAAGAGACTTTAGGGTCGGCCATCTTGTTATTTCGTTTCTTAGTTCTACTTGGTATTTCTTATGCGAGAGGAAATGGCAATTGTTTTCACAGTTTCGCGGAATGTATTCGTACATTTTAAGGTAACATGTATATCTTAAGCTAAGTCAAGTCAACTTGTTTCAGGCAGTCGAGACCGCGCTGGTTAGATTCGACCTCCTCAAGTACGCCCATCAGCGTGTGCACAGCCTCAGCGGTGGAAACAGGCGGAAGTTGTGCGTCGCCATTAGCGTTATGGCGCCCTCGTATATCGTGCTCATGGACGAGCCAACCAGGTACGGGCAAACATAACCTACAAACCCCATACTCTTCCAGCCTCTTCTTCCGCGCCACTCCGATGTACCCCAGCATCCCAAATGCACCTAAGCAATGAACATGCTCTTCCGCCGTAACTTCTTATTCACAATTAAGGCGATGTGAAACCCACACGATTTGACTAAGCCATTTTATTATTCGAAGAATGTACCACAGAATAGTCTGAAATTTCAGCGCCTAACCCACAATAAGCCATGAAATGTCCCGGTAATTTCAAAATCTTAATTTCTCCAAGAAACTTGGTGCATGCAAAAATGTTTAAAAAATTGACATTTTCAAGGTATAGCGACACCCGATAAGTTTTATCCTTGTTGTCTTTATTGCTTAACTACAACCTGTTATATATTTATCATAAGAATAATTAGTTTTTATGAAGGCAGGCAGATGTATATCCATCGATGTATCACCTGTTGTTATATCGCAGTGTAATTAATCGGTATGATTAATTAAATTAAAATAATTAGACTGGGCCTGAGTTAAGGATTATTTCACAATAATTACTAAAATATACTTGTTAAGTCTAACGGTTTAAATCAGTCTTTTAATTTGGCTTCTCCCCGTTAGTATTCTCGTCAGCTCGTTAGACACCTGATAAGTGGCCCCAATTAACGTGTAAAAATTTCAGACAGATCGGCGGTAAGGCGAGAAGAAAAAAGTGTCTTTTTTTTCCTTCAAATCACCTCGTTCTTAGGGTTTCGCACCCCCTTAACGAATATTTTTTTCGTTTCAGCGGCATGGACCCGGCCTCGAAGAGCCTGGTGGCCAGGGCGGTGCACCAGGTGACAAAGAACCAGGGTTCGGTGGTGATGACCTCGCACAGTGTGGCGGACTGCGAAAGCCTGTGCAGTAAAGTGGGCATCCTGGCGAGGGCAGGACTCCGGTGCATAGGGAGTCCGCAATATTTGAAGCACAAGTGAGGATAATTTTCACATCGGGCGTGTTCTTTGCACTGCACTCTAGAAGTCGAACAGCTCCTAGTAGTTCTGATTAATTGTTTTTAAACCAGACTTCTACTGGGGTAAAGCGTACGGAGGGATGCAGCTTCGCGTTACGTTGTTCTAAATGAGAATCGAGGACTTCCTTCGTTCGTTGTAAAAAGCAGAGTGTCTTTTTTGGAGCCACGCAAGGACTCGCGGTGCCTCGGAAAATGTTGCCGCTTTGTGGAAGGGATACACATTTTTTTTCTAATTTTTACGTGATTGGTTCCTTGGCGGAGACGCCAAAAAATGTCGCCTCCCACGACCTCGGCACCGAGGGTAGCCAGGTCGAGTACGGCCTGACCATGCCTTTGTAAGATCACGTACCGTCCGAGGGCATTTTTTATGGTCCTGTTTACCCAACCCTTCGCAAAAGTTCGGTTCCTATAAAGGCAAACAACATTTGGCGGCGAAATGCACACCGTGAGAACGCGGAGAAAGTCAACATTCCCAGGATGGTGCGAGGTCTCGTGAAGTTATAACTATGTACTCTAATTACTACAAGTATTTTCCTTACGGACGTAACAGGGCGCAAATTGAATCCGCTTTCGGGGGTCGAAGGTGGCCGGGACGTATGATTGGTAGTGAAATCGGGACCTGGGGGGCAAAATAATTGATAGGACTGGAGATCGAACACTCGAGATAGCCGAATGCGCCGAACTTCAGGGCGTTCGGTATTCACGGAGCCGCCATTGTGCAGGGCGATACGTCAGGGCCGGAAGTTACCAGGGCTCTTCTCCTACCCTGGGGACCGGTAAACTTCTTACAACCCCATAAAGTTGACCCCGTAAAACCTTAATAACCAGTGCCGCCATCCGCGGCGCTGCGACGAACCCACTAGGGCTAATAAAGATTCCGCGTCTACCTCCTCGTTACCAGACCGGGAGGTGGATATCCCCTTTCTTCGGGGATTTCTCATTGGACCTGGGTAAATATTTTAGTCACCAGCTCGACCGAAAGTCCCTCGATTAAGGTGAAGTGAAACACGTCGAGGAACTTGATCGACGTCGACAAAGAAGATTTTTCTAAATGCCTACGTTGCCGACGTTGGTTTTTATATTGACAGCTGGGTCGAATTATATTGTGTATTGTACCAAATGGCATATTCCACATGTCGTTTTCGTACAATAATTATTAAGAAATCGAAGTAAAACTCCAGAAATCCTCTGGATTCGTGCCTTCTGGGGCCCTAATTGACTGCGGAGGAACCCCCTGCGCCATCTGTGATTTCCAGGTCAATTAAATTTTCACTCCGAGACCTCGTATTACCATCGTTTTAGCAAAGAAGCGCATACAACACTTTCTTTGCCTTTATCCCGTTCAAATGCGAGTTTATCGATTGCCAGAGTGTTCTAAATTGTCGTAAAATTGTCCTGACCCTTTCGATTCTCATATCAGAGCCTTCGATAATTGTATATTGATCGAAATATGAGAGCTCGACGCCATTTTGGTTCTGGTCTGGAATGAGTTAAAAAATTTTTTGGAAAAATCCAAATTTTCAATGTGTCAGGACAATTCTTAGGCGATCAGGAGTGATGTGTCAAAGTTTCGGACAGTTTGGTCTAATACCCTTAAAAAAAAGTGTTGTATTCGAATCGACCGATTTGAAGGATGTTTCACTCCACCTTAACCCAATCGGCTGAGGGGCGAACGTATAAACGCGGATTTCTGGGGAATTTGGGCGGATTCCGGCACGCATTTCAGTGGTTAGGTGGGAGAGTTAAGAGGAAGGAGGTGAGGGCACTTACCTAGCTATTTACTCTAATTGAGATGCATTACACGGCCGAGATGTACGCCGTGGCACTTTGTAATGCACGCGGCCGGGTGCTCGTGGTATAACGTACTACCCCATAAATATTTAACCCCTTGTACCTGCACTTTAGGGGACCCAACATCCTGGGGGATAGACTAGGTGAGCCACCCTCGACACCCATCGTCGATACCACCATCGATCATGGCCTTCCACCTCCTTCTTATGTCTCAGCTTGCCAAAAAAGCCAACGGAATTAATTTCCCGCAGTGTCTCGCCACACAAAATTGTCCCCTAGGTCTGACATCAATTTTTATTCCAGGTACGGCGAAGGACACATAGCCTTCCTGAGGTTCCGCACGCCGATGGACCCGTCCGAACTGAAGAAAGTGATCTCCAGGTATCTCCCAAGAGCCGGAATTTTTTCGAGCCAAGCACTGACGGTGCGTTTGTTGGTGCCCAAAAGTCAAGACTCAACAGTTAGTGAGATCTTCGCCGCTGTTGAGGGATTAGCGGAGGAGCTGAAGGCAGTGGACTACACGTTGACACAGTCCTCCCTCGACCAGGTGCGTAAATCAATTTAAAATGCATCCTCGTGTTCAGGTCGATGCATTTAGAGGCGACCTGCATGTGTACGGTGGAAATTGCGGCCTAATTTATACCACCAGGAACACATCGGACTAAGTTACCACCCGCACCGCCATTGTAGCAAAGCCTCCGGATTTACTTGAGCAAAGTAACGCCCCAAATGTGGAGGTTGATCAATAGTTAACGCACGTGAATCTCGGATAATTACCGGCGTTGCATGCGGGAGAATAGCCATTGGTGTGTGCGGGACCCCGAAGAGCGCCACAATGTGGTTGTGCATGATTACACCACCTCTTACGAAATGTCCACCGTTGATATTCATTGAAATACCGGTTTAAATAAATCCGACATTGCCTTTCCACAAATGCTTTGAGTTAGTGCGGTGTTAAATAAAACCTGGTGGTGGGGACGTACCGAAAGTCGGATTTATTTAATCCGGTATTGAACAGACCCGACGGTGGGAACTTAGTGCCTGGTTAATCACCAGTGGGCTTCCAGGATTTTGATTTTGGAATCATCCTCTATATTTGAAACAAATCCAGTCAGTTAAATATACCTTGGACGGGGCTCCATTAAACCAGCTCACGGCTGACGGATTCGCCCTAACGAGTTCGTCCTAACCTCCATTTCTAGGAGATTACTCGGTCCACGTGGCCAACATGGTCCTAGGGAAATCCCTGGGTCCATCAATCGACTCGCCAAGTTCGGTGAACCCCGGCTGGGTGAAATTCGTCTTCGCGAATGCCAATCGCGAGAGGGTTCTCCATTTCATCGGCCTCGTGTTCTAAGGTCGTGTCTCCGCCAGATGACGTACCGCCCGGTTTCCCCGCCAGGCGGCGCATCGGTCGGCGCCGTTCCTGGGGATATTAATGGACTCGCACATTACACCGATTGTCGTCGCAGATTGCCGTGGGAACCTCGAGGTGCGGACGATGCGTTAACCCATCTCGCGTTTCGCCGTTGTCTCTTCTCTCTCTCCCTCTCGAGTCTCCTCTTCCGTCGCGTTTGCTCGCGCGCACGTAACTACGAATTTACATAAACTCGTACTTGTACTCGGTACACGTGTCTCCAAATTCAATAGACGGGCTGCAGAGAGGCCCGATGTGCGCCATGCGAGGCCGACTTCGACACGTCCGCTTCGCGCTAACGACGATTCGCGAAACCTTGACGAAGCTCTGTTAACTCGAGTTTTCGGGAATCCCACTCGAGATGCACCACGTCATCTGGATTTCTTTTTAAGATCCTTGGATGTATGCGGAGTTAATGAGAACGGAGGATTTTGTGAGCTGATCAGAGTCTTGGGTGTCGAGATGAGCAGGATTGGTCTTGGTTTGTAATAAATAAATTTGTTCGATGGGCAAATATAAGTAGGGCAATGGTGTTGGTGTCTTCTAGAAGGATAATGATGCTGATGATGTTGCTATCTTGGTGGTGTTTTCAAATTTGTTCTATGAGGAAATACAAGAAGGGCAATGGTGTTGGTGTCTTCTAGAAGGATAATGGTGCTGATTATATTGCTATCTTGGTGGTGATTTCAAATTTGTTCGATGAGGAAATACAAGAAGGGCAATGGTGTTGGTGTCTTCTAGAAGGATAATGATGCTGATGATGTTGCTATCTTGGTGGTGGTTTCAAATTTGTTCGATGAGGAAATACAAGTAGGGCAATGGTGTTGGTGTCTTCTAGAAGGATAATGATGCTGATGATGTTGCTATCTTGGTGGTGGTTTCAAATTTGTTCGATGAGGAAATACAAGAAGGGCAATGGTGTTGGTGTCTTCTAGAAGGATAATGATGCTGATGATGTTGCTATCTTGGTGGTGGTTTCAAATTTGTTCGATGAGGAAATACAAGTAGGGCAATGGTGTTGGTGTCTTCTAGAAGGATAATGATGCTGATGATGTTGCTATCTTGGTGGTGGTTTCAAATTTGTTCGATGAGGAAATACAAGAAGGGCAATGGTGTTCGTGTCTTCCAGAAGGACAATGATGCTGATGATATTGCTATCTTGGTGGTGGTTTCAAATTTGTTCGATGAGGAAATACAAGTAGGGCAATGGTGTTGATGTCTTCTAGAAGGATAATGATGCTGATGATATATGGGTCACTTGGCCGGAAAATAGAGCTGGATGTCGATGGAGATCAAAAAGGTTCGGTTCGCCTTCTTGGGAGAGGCGGATGTCTTATTTAGAGGTCTATTCCTGTACCGTGGAATATTGAGCAGTTTGATAGGTAGTTCTCACGAGATGGATCGATTTAGTGAGATGAAGGGAAATAAGTAATCGAGGCTCCAGGGTGAGGAGAGGGCAGGGTGACTTATTTTTAGGGGGTTTCTAGGTTCCTGTTTATTGAATCGGTTTGTTTATAACGGGGGAAATGGATTCAAGTTTATAATAAAATTATACTATGTAGATGTAATGCACTTTCAGGGGTTGGAAGGTGTAGTGGTGGTGTTTCTGCATTTTGCATTAGGTTTCTATGAGGCCTCTTCGGAGATGGTCGATATCCGGTTCTAGACGCTTCTATTCCTGTCTGATGTATAAGAGAATCAGGTTTACGTCGGGTCGTTCCTCTCGTCTTGCCGGTAACTTCTCGGCCTGCAATTTACTGCACTTATTTCCAGGCCGACATGGTGATCCGCTTAATCCATTTACGCGGGCGCAGGCTGGACCGGGGATTAATTTCAGCTTAGAAATTGCCTCTTTCTCTGCACCTTCGGCGATGCAGGCAAATCCGCACCGGCTCGTTTTCACCGTGACCCTATAAACGGTGGGAGTCGAATTAACCCACGGTTCTGGTTTACTGCTTAATGCAATGCCGAGAGGGGTGCAAATTTTATACCTCCTTAGAGGTTTTAATCGTCGCCAACGCCCCCGCGATTAGCGTCTATCGCTTCTTCGGGCCGGCTACCTGTACCGTTTGGAGCACTTGTTGTGGCTTTTCCAAGAAATCCCGTAAAAATGCTAAGCCCTTCAGGGGCTTAACGGGATTTCGCGGTTAGGCGCATATACGCCCTTCCAACGTGGAAATTCGAGCCCGATACCGGCGGGAATTTTTACCGTGGATTAAGCGAGGCGGTTCAAAAATACCCCTTTTTTTGGCGGCTTTCCAAGCGATTCGCAGTCGAGGTCCCGTAAATACCGGAATCTGTGAAGAAGCTGCTCTTCTTGATTACCGCAGTTTCCTTACCAGCGCCGATGCGTCTACCACGACGGGCCCGCTGGGAATGCATCGCGCGGCGCGCACGCAGCGCTTATATACCCCCCCGCATCCCCTCCACTCACCCCGACACCACGTGACCCGGTGCCCCACTGCCCCCCTCATGAAATTTTTTCCCTAAAGAGACCTTTTTAAACATCGATGCACCGTAGAATTTTGATGTTTATATACATATGTACGCATATTAACTCATTTTTTAAATAATTCGACTTGGGGAGCTTTTTCGAGCATGTAATGGTGAATAGGTTTTTTCAGGGTGGGGGTCGAAGGGCCATCCCTCCTTTAACGGTTCTGTTTGCTTCCCTTTTTTCATGGGGTTTCTTTTACGACGCGTTTTCGAACGGGATGAGCTCTCATAAACATCTGTGACGAACAGAACTTTCACGTCGAGCGACTGCCAGAGATAGGTTATGACGATATGGAAATTTTACGATTCGCCGGGAGGGTTTTCTGGGGAGAAGAAGGGCCCCGGGGGTGGGACGAGTTATCGGATGCCCTTTCGAAAAGGGAAGGTTTCCGCAGAGGGGCGGGGGAAAATGTTGTACTTGAGGGGGAACCGAGTTTACCAAGCGAGGCGGCTTTATCAGGACGCGGACCACTTCCGGGATGCACATCCAATCGCCCCTTATCGTTTCATTTTTGACTATTCATGGAATTTTTGAAATACCAAGAAACTCAGGTATAGGGAAAACCACGCCGGAAAATATTCGCGTTCCGACGGTTTTGAGAGGTTAAGGTGATATGAAAGGTGCCGGAGGGTCTCCACACTTTTCTCCAAACTGAGGTCACTGAATTTTTTCAAACTTTACAACGTGATTCTGGAGGCTGGAAGGAAGGTCCCGACATTCTTGATATTTCAATTTTTTAAACATTTGTTGGTAGACATTGTCGAAAGTTTTTTGGAAAAATTTAATTTTATGGGTGTAGGGATTTTGCTTATAGTCTGTACATCCTGTCCGAAGGAATGATTCATTAACTTTTTTTTTATTCCTCAGACGCCACTTTCATATTACCTTAATACTCGAATTATCGACGGACGGAAAACCGTCGGGAAAACTGGCGGTGAATTTCTAGGTTAGGTCAAAATGGGAGGTTCGCTCGTTTTTCCTCGTTTTCTTTTTCTTCGTTTGCGGTGCACACGGTTCAGTCCTCTCGATCGGATTTTACGTGGACGCGTCGATCGAATCGACAAATCCAATTACTTGGTACAACCCCCACGACGCGAGGGTGTTTATTTGCAGAAGGACTCATCCGATTGGGCGCTGCCCGATCGCGCGTGCCTTAACAAAGTGCTTTAACAAAGTTCCCACGGAAAATTGGGGAGATTTCCTCCCGTGGGGAGAAACCGACGTATTTTGGAAATCGAATGCCGAATATAATCCCGTGGACGTTCCTTGATAAAGGGTTAAAGCCGAATTTCGCGAAAGGCCGCTGCGAAGTTTGCCGCTCCACTTTCCTCAAAATTCAAAATGGCGGCGCAGTTCAGACCGATCTCGAAGATTGGACGATTCTCCCTGAAAATTGTGTTTTTGGAAAAATTAGGACTGCAATATATTCCACGTTAATGTCTGGGGCTTTAAAAGCGAATTAATATACTTTTACATTGCGGTAATTATTTATATTTTATAAAATTGGTACAGCATATACCAATGGAAAAAGAAAAATGTTGTATCGGGATTGTTATTTTTAATAATTCTAGCTATCTCTTGCAGTATATATGAGCCGCTTAGTGCACACATCGACTAACTCCACTTTTTGAAAAATCTTAAATTTAGGGGTCAAAGCACTTGGTATTGTCATAACTTTTTATATTTATAATATCTTTCCTGATTAATAGAGATTAACACCATTAAACGGTAACATTTTTTTGGGCATTGAATAATAAGTAATTTATTTCAGAAGCCATTTTGATTAACTCCATACTCTAATGTAAATCGTAGACGAATACCTGGCAGTATAGTATTATTGGATTATCTGTTGCGGCCGTACATCGACGCTTTTTTTTTTACACAGTCGAAGATGCCTTCCCCCTTTCAACAATATGAGTAATAAAATCGCATCAGCAAACGGATAGAAAGAAGCGCAATGCAGACGGTAGTTAGTATAACAGTGATCTCTCACGCTGAATGTTACTGTATACTTCACCAATATTACACGGAATACATATTTTTTGGTCTTTTCAACATTACTCCCTGATTGTTTTTAAAGAACTAAATATTATACCGTTATAATCAAGATGAGTGAAACTAATAACAATGTGGATGTGGAAAGCAGGGATGATTCTTCAATACGATTTATCAGCAGAAAGTCTGGGGCAAGAAGACGTTTATCGTGTTTCTCGGATTCATCCGATTGCAACGGTACAAATTCCCCAACAAACACATCGATTGGGAGGAAAAGAAGTCGTAATCCTGATAAATGGGCACGAAATTTACAAAAGCATAACGGAACAAAAGGTTTGGCATACAGGAATAGGGGAGGAAATTTAATACCTGCAAAAACATTTGTCGATATAAAATGCAGACGATTATTTTTTGGCTATTCTTTCTTATTAATTTTATATACCGTTAGATGAAAACTATAACTGTATTTATGTATTCTACATTATATATTTGAAGTTATATTATAATAGGAATTTTAAAAAAGAATCTACATTACTTCATCGCATTACTCAACTTTTTCTTTTATGGAGTTAATCAATGTGTGCACTGAGCGGCTCATACGATAAAAGGGCTCGGTAAGGTTTCTGAAAATGCCGACTCGGAATTCTCTGGGGAACTTCCGACGCCATTTCAACTTTTGAACGGGATTAATAATTGCGCCGTGGTTAAGACTGCTCTTAAAACTGGCAAATATTGTACCATCCGGTACTCCGAGTGGCCGTAACTTTATTTCTCCTGTAAGTGAGCGTGAAAATCGGCCAAGTCGGAGAGCAGGTGAATACACGTGAGCTGAACTTTCGAGGAGAAAACTTCCCCGGAGAAGATGGAAGAGTTTCCCGAAGTTTCCGCTTCGCTTACTTGGGAACTTCGTTATCGATGATCGGGTGCGCTCAATACGAGGCAATTTCGCAAAATGGGCGAATTTAAGGAAAGAAGACCGAGAGGCAGCCTGGAACTTGGAATCCGAGAAAAAATCCCTGGGGGGTCTGCCTGGCCTAACTTCAAGTCTAAACATTTGTAATTGCACATCGAGTGACGAATTTTTTTAGTTTACTCTCGCATTTAAACCGTACACAAGCAATGACGATAAGACAACAAATAGGATTATTAATGAGAATATTAAAGAATATATTGCCTTACTAACTACTCGGAGTGTATTTATTTACTAAGTCTCGAGATATAGAATTATAATCTCCTCAAAAGACACCTTAGGTGTATAAAAAACACTTCGCCAAATACATTCTTGTTTATTTCTTGAATCGCAAAAATAATTCAAACCGTTATTTCTTTAATGACAAATGGAAATCAATTATTTTTGCCAAATTATTGTACATTTGGTTCAACATAATACAAGTACATCCATTCTAAAAATGATATTATCACAAAAAAGAATCGATATAATTACAATATACCAAGTTAGCGTCAGAGCTGCATTTCCGGGATGTTCTTCTTCCTGATTTCCGGGACAAATGTCTGAGGAGTCCATTTTGGACCTTCGGAAATTAATATCGAAACCTGTCGGACAGAAAGTCATGAAATCTGGAGTAGGCAGAGAAATCCCAATTGTTTATTGAGAACGTCCTGTCCTTTTTTTAGACTGACCAAAAACATTTTAAATCCGGTACGCGTGGACAAGCAAAAGTGCACTTCCGCTTGTTTTATGCATCGCTTTTGGGGGTTCGGTATAAAATCTCTGGGACGTGTAAACTTTTCAATCATGGCGTGTCGGGATCGTAAGATTCTCGTAAAAAAGCGCCCGGAAAAGTTTCCTTGGTGGATTTAACGTGGGTCCTTCAAAATTCCAGGTGTTAGTGAATTTCTCCGAGGAAGCCGAAGACGAGTCGGTGGAAGTGGACGTTTTTGGCCAGGGGAGAAGGACGAGCTTTCCGAACATGTACACCAGCAGAGATACCATCCACATGGAGACATTTTGAATCAAGGAAGTTGTCAAATATTCCAAGTATATACTCCAGTAAAGACCCAGTCCAAGATAGGATACCGTGAATGAAGAAATTAGGCAGAAACTTTACAGCATGCGTTCTGACAAGGGCGTCGTGGCGCCATTTTGAATCGGGGAAGAAGATAGGACTTTCAAACAAGTACATCATCTACAAGGATTTTTGATTAAGGCGAACTGGCGAACATCTCAAGTACCTCGGCATGTACTCCAGAAGGAGACACCATGGACATGAAGTTTCTGGATCAGGGGAGGTTCCTTAACGCGTACTCCAGCAAGAACGACATCCTCAAGTACTCTTCCGGGACATTGTCCTGGCAAGACGCGGAATATCGCATTGATCTTCCGTTAAGTTAGGGTATATAGGTTACTCCCGATAATTTTAGAACGAACCTCCTCCCCAGGGAGATTAATTTTTAAAAAGGCGCAAACCTCAGAGACGGGAAGTGTCGTGTCGGGTAAGGACGAAAATAATCCCACGATGCGAATCTTTACGAAACCCCGCGGGTCGACTTCTATATGCAGAAGTGTTATAAATAAATCCCGGCAGTGCGTTCTATGCAATTTCACTCGTCCCGGGAGTTCCATCAGTCGGGGAAAACGTTCGAAAAACGTTCGTTTACGGGTAAGGAAGAGATAAGGTTGAATAAGAACCCTCCGATAACGGCGAGACAAAGGGTGTATATTTTTGTAAGAAATTAGTTCGCAGTTTAGCGTCGACTCGTTCCGCCATTTTTCCCGTGGAGGGCATAACTTTCCAGACTTCCCCCGACTTCGTTTCCTCTCTTCCTTTGGGATCCTTCCCGTGGGATTCTTCCTGTCGAATTAATCCCCCTTCCTTCCGGCTCGTAAACTTCCTCCGTTTTCTCGTTTTCACTCCCAGTGAAACTCGCCAGTCGCATCTTGGACCGCCGACCAATCTCTAGTACTTTGTTATTTAATTAGACTATGTGTACACTACTTAGGCTTGCATTGTGATATTTTATACATAAATAAATACGTTAAACCCGCGTATATGATTGAGGACCTAACCTCTAAGCCGCTCCTCTTCTTTACGGCGGGATTACGCATTTCCAGGTTTTCCGTTACACTTTACGAATTATGGGCTTCATTGGAAAGGGTTCCTTGTACAAATTGCATCCTTTAACGACGGATTTACTTTGTTAATAGAGTCTGTCGACGTAAACGGGTTACCCTTGTTATCGTTGTGATCGAAACTCGACTTGGCGCGATTCGCTCCAGCTCTGGTCGCGTCTATTAACGGAACGTTCATTTTTCGTGGAGTTACGGGTCTAGGCGTAACGGCAATTCCACGGTCGAGTCGACGTTGGCCCGTGGTCTAGAATGAGTCGGTAAAATCCGACTCGAGCCGGTATGGGCGACGCGGGTCTATGTTTACCGGCGCGCCTAACGTAAGACTTCATGTTCCACTCGAGGACGCGTCTCTTAAGGACGCACTTACGTGGGCGTCGGCCACTCTGAGGTGGACCGCGGAAGGGTAAGCATCTTAGGTAAGTAAAGGTAAGTACGGAACATTTATACCTTTAGTAACACCTTTTACCGGGAATTTATTAATGGTATAGCGTAATAGAAAGGTTTGTAAAATATTTTTAGAACCCTTCGGTTCTTTATCGACGACATTTGAATATCATTGTAGGTTAATAGTTCCACTTTGAAGAGGACCGCGGAAGAGTAAGTATCTTAAGGGGGTAAAGGTAAGTACCCAGATACCATTGAATGTATAGCAGACGTAATATACTCGTATATCAATTTCTATTGAATGTATGTAAGATGTATTTAGATTTGTATAAACGGTATTTTAGATATATTCCAAGATATTAAATGTAATAAATATATGGAAAGATTTGAGTTTTTTTATCAACCACTTATGAAGATTATTATGAAACAACGTCGCGTAAAAGGTGTGAAGTAGAAGCGAGGGTAAACGACATTCGAAGAGTTTTCATCCGTTTCCGCGGCGCTTTACTTTCTGCTCGTAAAAGGGTGGATGGGAGTCTTGCTCTCTTCTTTTTCCTTCGTTTTTATTTACGCACTTCTTGTGGTGTGTACAAAACGGACAAGACACGCGAGACAGGACAATAACGTTAAGCGCACCGAGAGCCAAGGTTACAAGAGCACGAGGTGGTAAACCCTCGGCTGAATGCAAAACTTCGGAGCTTGCGGAAGTTTATTAAATGCACTTTTTGCGCAACGAGCCGGGCTCGAGATGGTTTACGGCCGCGAGGTTAAGCCGGCCTCGCCATTTTTTCCAACCCCTCCCATTGCTCCGTAAAATTCCGCTAAATTCCCGCAAGCTCGGTCGTAACTTAGCCTCGAGAACTTTATTCGTGGAAACTTCGGCCCGATTATCGCGCTAACCAAGTGCAGCTTGTCGATACCGTTTGTAGCTCCGACCCAAGTTAGATTAAATCGATTCCTGCGAAATTCCTGCACGATCGCTTATCTCGGTGTTAACGCCCGCAAGGCGCCTTTGTCGGCAGGAATTCCTTGGCGGGAGATTCAAACTTCGCGCGAACTTATCTAATCATTTTATCATCCCCAAGTGAACTTAAGGTGTTATGAAAGGATTATTCTATATACGTAAAAACGTCATAATATATAGAATGACCCTTTCACAACACCTTAAATTAGCAGTTCTTCTTTTTCTCTCATTTCTTATCGGGTAACCTCATATACCCGTCGCGGTGAAAATTAGAAAATCCCCGGGGGTTGCTCCCTTTTAGAATTTTCACTACATTCCCGTTGCAGGGTTAACTTAGGTTCTTAAAAACGGAAAATGAGGACAATATCGGGGTGAGTCGAAAATGAGGAAGAGATACAGTCGTTACTTTCATTTGCAGGGGGATTTTCGGAGCTCGCAATTACCGAGGACGACGCAATCTGGCTTTTCCTTTTTCCTTTTCGGAGGCTTTCCCGGATTTGACGACTCCGTCTCTCCGATGGCGTTGAAGTCTCCGAGGGGTGTCTTCCTCGGCGGACTCGAATTTACCTTTTGTTACTCGCGTGCATGTGCGAGGGTACCGACTGTTACGTGACTCCTCGAAATGTTCCTTTGTAATTGTTAAGCGACGCGCACAACGGGACGAACGGCCCGGGTCCTTGTTACTTTTTGCCGCTTGCTCCGGTTATCGCGATAACGATCGCTTCAGGGTCGGCTATTATGCACGGAATATGGCGTGTGGAACACTCGGAGCGTTCGGAAAGGTCGGGAAATGTCGAAAAAATCCAGCCGACTGCATATCTTTAAATCGAGGCTTAGTCAAAACCGGAAACAAGACCACTTTACGAGAGGACTCTTTCAGAAAAGTTATTCTTTTCCTCCCTTTTGTGCCGATTCGCCACTCGACGGCCATTTGTAATCCATCCATGGGAGCCACGAAATAGCAAAATGACGCTCGAGAGACAGATTAATTAACAATTGGGGTTAATCGTAAATCCAGGCTTAATCGATACCGGAAACAAGACCACTTTGCGAGAGCACACTTTAAGAAAAGTTATTCTTTCTGTTTATTCTCTTATGTCGAGCCATCATCCGTCGGCCATTTGTAATCCATCCACGGCAGTCATGAAATAGGAAAATAGATTAATTAATAATAGAGGTTAATCGTAACTTCGCTCGATTAACCTCGATGCCAACCACGTGGCGTCCCACTTTCTTCTACGTCATCTTTTACGCCCTAAGCCGCAGAAGTCCTGGAAAAAAAAATGGTATCACTTTAATATATCACTATCTAATCTGGGGGGATTGAGAGCCGGGATGGGTATTATCGGGACCATGTCCCTTATCAACCATTAACTGGAACTCCGGATGTCGTCCCTGTATTTTTTAGTACACACGTATATGCGCGGAAAAATATGTAAAAGTGATTTATGTCGTGATATTAGTGTTTTCGCCTCCACGCTTAGAAAAGTAATTCCCAGTCGTAATAAAAAAAAAAAAAAAGGAATTCCACTTACCTAGACAATTGTGAAATCTTGAAAATGGGCCTGGAAAATTTCTTTTTGCAGAGTGCAGTTGCAACCAATTTTGCTGTCAGTGCAATTATTCGTGTTGTCAGAGCCTCTATCAGCAATGGTGACCTTTCGGTGTCCACGTGTTTTTTTTTTTTTTACCTAGGCAATTGTGAAATCTTGAAAATGGGCCTGGAAAATTTCTTTTTGCAGAGTGCAGTTGCAACCAATTTTGCTGTCAGTGCAATTATTCGTGTTGTCAGAGCCTCTATCAGCAATGGTGATCTTTCGGTGTTCACGCGTTTTTTTTTTTCTTTTTCTTTGGTGCACGTGCGCAGTAAAGTGTACTTATGCAATTGCGCATGCATCGCGTACTCCTGTACAGAGGGACGGTTTCACGGCGACATTATAAGCCACTTCTTCATCTCCATTTTCTGGTCCTGCTCCTTTTCCACGTTTACATCCTGTCTGCCTCAGGGTCCTGGAGATCCTGGGAAACACCTTTTCCTACCCCCGAGGTGCAACTCTTGTGCCGGTACGAAGACTCCCCCCAGTGGGAAGTTCTTTTACAAGCGAAGACCTCCACGAAAGAGAGATCAGTCGAGCGTGAACAAAGTACCGCTCCTGCGAATGGAACAAGTTTCTTCGTTTTGCCCTAAAAGCGACGACATATTGCCTCGAAATCGTTCCTGACTTCGGAAAGTACTTCCTTGAAAGGGGTGAGGAAACGGGGTCGATAATGCCCTCCCTGCTAAATTGTTTCTTCAAATTTATTCTCTCCTTGTATCTCCCTTAAGTAATTTACGGATGGAACAGTGGAGATCCCCTTGATGAACATTATAGGTTATATAATTTAAATTGTTACTGTGTGTTTACCTTAATTATCGGGGTCGACGTTGCCCCACAACCAAATTTCTAATGGTTACCATACAATTATTTTCTATCTACGTATAATCCCTTATATAATTCCTTAACTAATTTACAAATGAAGGTGTAGAATATCCCTGTCTTTTTTAAGTATTGCAGGTTATAATTGTTTAATAAGTATCGTGCTGATATTAATTAGGGAAAATGTATCCTGCGGTGTCTTCCATCCGCACATCTAAATTCCTGTTTCCTATCTACATCCCCATTAAATAATTGATAAATGAAGATGTAGAATATTTCATTTTTGATTAAATATTTCATGTTTTAATGTAAAATAATTATCGTCCTGATATTAATTAGGGAAAATGTATCCTGCGGCGTCCTCCATCCGCACATCTAAATTCCTGTTTCCTATCTACATCCCCGTTAAATAATTGACAAATAAAGATGTAGAATATTTCATTTTTGATTAAATATTTCATGTTCTAATGTAAAATAATTATCGTCCTGATATTAATTAGGGAAAATGTATCCTGCGGCGTCCTCCATCCCCACAACTAAATTCCTGTTTCCTATCTACATCCCCATTAAATAATTGATAAATGAAGATGTAGAATATTTCATTTTTGATTAAATATTTCATGTTCTAATGTAAAATAATTATCGTCCTGATATTAATTAGGGAAAGTGTATCCTGCGGCGTCCTTCATCCTTACATCTAAATTCCTGTTTCCTATCTATATCCCCGTTAAATAATTGACAAATAAAGATGTAGAATACTTCATTTTTTATTAAATATTTCATGTTCTAATGTAAAATAATTATCGTCCTGATATTAATTAGGGAATATGTATCCTGCGGCGTCCTCCATTCGCACATCTAAATTTCTATTACCTATCTACATTTCCCTTAGCATTCATTAATGGTTAAATATTTCATGTTTTAATGTAAAATAATTATCGTCCTGATATTAATTAGGGAAAATGTATCCTGCGGCGTCCTCCATCCTTACATCTAAATTCCTGTTTCCTATCTACATCCCCGTTAAATAATTGATAAATGAAGATGTAGAATATTTCATTTTTGATTAAATATTTCATGTTCTAATGTAAAATAATTATCGTCCTGATATTAATTAGGGAAAGTGTATCCTGCGGCGTCCTCCATTCGGCTCCTTGGAGGAATCGCGAGAGGTGGAGGCGCAGGACCAGGAAGGAGCAGGACCATAGTTAAGGAGCAAGTTTCAGGACAGTCCGGAGGAATTCCGGGAGTGTCTTCAGATTCCGTGTAATTACCGCAACGAAGGGTCGCGAACGTTGTCTCGGATCTCGAGAGTTCCCTGAGAACAATGGCGGCCATTGCCGACACGCTCCCGAGGGAAACTCGGACGTCGCAGGAATTCGGAAAATGCCGACCTCGCAGCTTCCGTTCTCAGGAGGACCATCCAAGGATGAAAGGATCATGTATTCCGACTGCCGGTGAAATCTTGAATACCCTTCCGGAAAAACGCGGCGGTCCGATCGCCTTTCCAGTTTACAGTTTCAATTTGCAGTTTCTACGCTACTGGTGTCTGATAGTAATTTCTCAGCCTTCTCATTAAGGTGATGTTAAAGTGGCGCCAATGAGTTCTTGTTCACGAAACTTTTCTCCAAACTGAGTACACAAATTGGATTAAAAATTTACAATATAAGTATGGAGGGTATGAGGAAGGTCCTGAACCTCATGAAATTTCATTAAACCCATTTGCATCATTGGGAAGTATGAAAAAAGGGTCCTTATCACCAAATTTCAGGCTGAGTGATAGTGGCCAGTAAAATTGAGCGTACATATACATATACGTTCCAGTGATAGTGATTAGGAAAACTGAGCGTATATATATACGCTAATGATGCAATGGGTTAAAAAATTTCGTTTATAGATATTTTCAAGATTTTTTATGCAAAATGAAAGGCTGAATGATAGTGGCCAGTAAAATTGAGCGTACATATACATATACGTTCCAGTGATAGTGATTAGGAAAACTGAGCGTATATATACGCTGATGATGCAATGGGTTAAAAAATTTCGTTTATAGATATTTTCAAGATTTTTTATGCAAAATGAAATTCCGCGTGTCTCAAGACCTACCTTAGGGTCTTCTCATTCATTTAGTGGAGTTTGAAACGATTCGGTGCACCCAGTTTGGAGAAAAGTTTCATAAACGAGACCTCTCAGATATCACTCTCGTATCACCTTAAAGGTACCCCTTAAACATCTTCACCGGATATGAATTTAAATTTGTATTGTTTAATGCGATTCTTCATTTACGAATTGTTGGTTTTTTAAGATGATTCCCAGTTTCTGGAAATTCGAAATTGATGGTCGGATTTCATAAATGGAATGGGCACTCCACCCAGGGGGAAAAGTCGAAATGATATCGAGCGAGGTCGGAATCGAGATTTCCTTTTATTTCTGATTTTTCATTTTTCATTTTTCATTTTCGTGCCATAAAATCGACACGCGGACAAATTCAGGTCGTTTTCAATTTCCGATGGCCGCGAGGCCGACCAATACACGCGTACCCATTCTCATGCACGTGTATGTGTATTCTCACGCATTTAATGCACACGCACTTAATCATTGTGCTCGAGGTACGGGAATAACATCGGGGCTTTGGGAGCACGTAGTTTATTCACGCTCACGTTCCGTTTGAATTATTCCTGCGGCAATTTCCGACATAATGCCCGACGCCCAACAGGTAGGATCGATCAGTGATCAATATTGCCGATAGGTGTCACTACGAGGTCATCTAAACTAATAGAATAGGTCCTCCAGATTTGTGACTTAAGGTGAAGTGAAACACGTCGAGGAACTTGATCGACGTCGATAAAGAAGATTTTTCTAAATGCCTACGTTGCCGACGTTCGTTTTTATATCGACAGCTGGGTCGAATTATATTGTGTATTGTACCAAATGGCGTACTCCACCTGTCGTTTTCGTACAATAATTATAAAGAAATCGAAGTAAAACTCCAGAAATCCTCTGGATTCGTGCCTTCTGGGGCCCTAATTGACTGCGGAGGGACCCCCTGCGCCATCTGTGATTTCCAGGTCAATTAAATTTTCACTCCGAGACCTCGTATTAACATCGTTTTAGCAAAGAAGTGCATACAACACTTTTTTTGCCTTTATCCCGTTCAAATGCGAGTTTATCGATTACCAAAGTGTTCTAAATTCTCGTAAAATTGTCCTGACCCTTTCGATTCTTATATCAGAGCCTTCGATAATTGTATATTGATCGAAATATGAGAGCTCGACGCCGTTTTGGTTCTGGTCTGGAATGAGTTAAAAAATTTGTTTGAAAAATCCAAATTTTCAATGTGTCAGGACAATTCTTAGATGATCAGGAGTGATGTGTCAAAGTTTCGGACAGTTTGGTCTAATACCCTTAAAAAAAAGTGTTGTATTCGAATCGACTGATTTGAAGGGTGTTTCACTTCACCTTAACCGCTCCGCGCCTTCCATTTTATCTTTCTGAAAAGATTCAATTTTTAAGATGAAGGTTGAGCTTTAATGAAGACCCATGGAATTTTTATTAATAATAATGATATTCTTTTTTAAGCGAAATTGGATATTCAGAATCGAATGAACACCCTTGTAATTAATAATTTTGATTTTTCGGTGTAAAGCTGGGTATTCAGAACCGAAGGCTTATCCTTAACAGACACCCCTGCGATATTTTATTAATGTCGATTCTTTTTTTCCAGGTGAAGTCGGATATTCAGAATCGAAGGTTGACCCTTAAGCACCCCTGCAGGTGGATCCCCGAAAGTTGGAATTTTTTTATACCATGCCAGGTGCACACCCTGTAATTTTACATATCGATCAGCATCGTGACTCATGATAACGATAGGTTGGATATTCCCCAGGAGGCGTAAAAAAAAAAAATCAATCGCTGCATATTGTTCAAAATGGTTGTCCAGTTTACCTGGAAATAAGAAATGCCGACGGGAAATGTATTTATCATTATTGCGAACCGTGAAGAATTGGACCGTTTACTATTTCTCGGAGAGAGAGCACCTTTCTCACAGGGCCAGTTTTTATGGGGCGAATTTCAAGGCTTTACGACGATTTTCAGCATTACGCCCGGGAGTTAGAAGTAGTCGGAAGATGTATGGACTTACTCCTGGGAGTTCGGACTTACGACTTCAAGGGAGGAACAAAGTTGCGGGAAATGTGGCGGCTTCTGAAGTTCCGTCGTTAAGAGGTTCAAACTTCCCGCCGCCGGTTCGAATATTTAAATCTTTGGTATTAATTAAAGATGTAGAAACTTGATAGAGCTCGCGGATAATGAACATTCGCGGGTTAATGTTTTTTTTTTATTTTTTTTTTTCGCCACAGAAACCAATATACTACAAATAATGGAATACAATGGCGGCGTAATACCCGCTTTAAGGGGGTTCTCTAGTCTAGAGATCCGCTTTTCCGCTCGTTTTTAGAAAAGAATTACACAAAAACGATACTTTTTATTATCAACTTTATTCGTAACAATTTTTTGGAGTTTTGACAGGGTTATATCGAAAATATCAGCAGCACGTGGAGGCAATATGAAGGAGACGTCAAGTTTCATCCTGACCCTTCGACGCGTTTGGATCCCCACATTTCTGAACTAGGTGTACATATTCTCCCCTCGTCGTAAGTGCACATCTGGAGATGACAACAGTTGTTGGTCCAAGTTCGACCAAAGCCCATGACCCTTCTCAGCGATGGACCTCTTGCCCGAAACTTCGAGATTCGAAATCCGTCCTCACCCACACCCCGAAGAACTTGCACCGCCATTTTGTGTAGGACCCAGCAATTCGACGTCTCAACTCTCACGGATCTCTTGGAAACCGCCAGAATGGAAACCACCATCAGTCCGATCGGGAGAGAGACCAATGAACCTAGAATTAAACCTAGAGATACCAGAAAAGCATAGAAAAGGTAAAAAAAGCCAGTGAAAATTAAAAAATGAAGAAGCCGCTCCACCGCTGGATCGTCCTTTTCGCCATGAAATTAAAAGGAAAACGTCCAGAATTCCAAATCGATTCCAGGAATCGAGAAGTCACCTGCACGTGGAATCGCAAATCGATTCCTGGAAACGAGAATTTTTCGGAAAGGTGGAGTTCAAGAACTTAGAAAAATCAGTTCTTCCTCGAAGAGATCTTTTACAAACGGAGGAAAAATGGCGGCGCGTGGTCGACTTCCTTTCTTCACCGTAATGGCCGCTTGCTGGGACCGTGTGACGTCATAGGATCTTTCTACGTGTTTTACCGTATTAAGGTACTTTCGAGACACGGAAAGGTGTTGATATACTTAAATTGTGCGCCTGGAACTTTTAATTTGTGGAATATCGAACGCCAGGCCGACCATGACGCACATCGGAAGCGTCTGGTGTTGGATTCCATTTTGATTCGGCCATGAGTGCGTTAATAGACGGAATGGAAAGAAATGTGGGTTACGCGTGGCCCTGGATTTATTCTGGGTTGGTACCTCGAATGTTCACGGCTAACTAAAGCTTAATTGCTCGATTCGGTTGCCTCTCGAGGTCGTGTATCCTCCATCATCTATGACCCATGAATCCCACACTGGCACGAGTCGTAGGTGGTATTCGCTATCCATCAGCTGCTCCATATAATTGTCGACGGTTTAACCCGTTGTCGCATGTACACGTGTACCAGGGACCGAGAAGATTCATTGAGATTAATGCCGGACATGGGTACAGCCGAGAAACGGTGAGAACGTTCTTCTCCGACTTTTCCATTCATGGGATCACTAATTAACCTGAAATTTGTCGGCGGTTTTGTGAGATAACCGTTAAAAGTCTCCACCATCGATTACATGATCTAAATCCTTTTACATCTCGTCTCGAAAACGTGGATATCGAGTCTTGTAGACGTGCGTCACTCTGCGACCCGGTTGATGACATCAATCCAGGAATCGTATCTATTGCCCGTCAACCATAACCTATAAACATCAACCCTCGCTAATTCTACACCGTATCCGCCATCCGTCAAGAGCCGTTCATCTCTGTAGACGAATTAACCCATTCTCTTATGTACACGAAACGTCGCCAGGATGACGGAGAGTGATCTAGATTAATTATATGCACGTTGTGGAGGTACTCAGCATCCCTCGGGGAGTCACCTGCGACCAATAACCTAATTCGCGTCACGACAATGGAAATAAATCTCTGCAGAGGAATTAACCTATAATAAAAAAATCAGCGGATAACTAATGCAACGATTGGATCACGAGTCCCATTATGTATATAGTGTCGAGCCTCACGTTTTCATTTCCACGATATGGAACCAGATGCAACTGGATCCCCGGTTGTCGCAAGGTGATGTCACCGTCGGTGTACATTTACCAGGAATGTCGCTTCATAGGAATCGGACTCGAGTACGCTCCTATATTCTCGAACACCCTTGACGGTATTAATTCCGGGCAATTCGAGCAATCAGAAAAGCTTATTTGCGGACATTAAATACAGCCACGTAGGTGAGGACATTGATTCTTCCGCGTATATGCCCGCGAAGAAAAGTGGGTTAAGAGGGTGCCCCAATACTCACGAATGTTGCATCATCCCCTTAACAGAAAATGTCGGAATAATTTCCATTTTCATTTCCACCGATATTTCTACGTGAGAAATGATGAATGTCGCGACCATGTATCCGTGATAATTCCGTTGGATAGCCTTGACATTCGAACCGAGTTGGATAACCTGAAGATAAGGTGAAGCGAAGCTGCAGACTTCCAAGATGGCCGCCACCCGATGGCTGCATATTTTGCATTCCTCCCAGCTGTCTTCGCTCCCTTATCTCGAAGGTCTTGCATTCACGCGATAGTAGGTTGAGAAACTACGAGGCTGAGAATCGTAAAGCGTTTTACGATTACTTAGAAAGCGACGGCTTCGTAACAGCATCTGCAATTCAAAGTGCCCGAGTGACACAGAGTAAGCACGCACGTTCTACTAAATTCCCGGAGCAAACGAGTCGATTTAACTGCTTTTTCCGTTAAGGATTAAGAAATTAGTTGGCACGCGAGATATGCAGCATAAGTGCGCAGAAATGGCGTCTTTCAAATTTGAAGTGCCGTCGAAACATCCATTTTGAACGGCGCTCTTCCGGTTATTATTTTTTTATCAATTTGTAGAATTATTAATCAACCAAGTCGACCAATGCCTGCAATGCGACGTAAATAATGAAATAAAAATTAAAAGGTGCCTTAGGAAATTGTCGTTAGGCTTTCTGACATTCAGAACGTTCTTACAAGTGTACGAGTATGTGTGCACATTCTACCAGTTACTTGAAGCAAACGAGTTGCGTCGAGCTGTCAATTTAACTGGTTTAGTTGGCCAACTGAGAAACGAGCAGCCACACGTGACACATACACTAGTTAGATATTTGATAACACAACTCGCAACGGAAGTCGACAATTCACCGACGCCGCAGCCAAGCGATTCAATTGGTTCTCGCAATCGGTCAATGCAATTATTGAAACGGTACAGATGATAAATTACCACTATTACCGTGGTCAAAAGTCCAGCAAATGCTTTTATCATAATTGAATAACTCTTTACCACCACTAAATTCATCCGAGATAAGGAACAAATAACAGCCGTCAATATGCGCAAGAATAATAATAAATTTGCAGGGATAATCGAATGAATTAACAGGATTAATTCCTGACATTAATTAAACTCCCAAGAATCACGTAATAAACATTAAGTCCGTTCCAAGTTTTGTTACACACTCTTTATTTACATGAGTTACGGTTAACGCTTATTTTCCCGTTTACGAACGTGGCGGGTAATCGTTAATTTTTTATCGTGTCGTCAATCTGCTCTTAGCGACTTTACTAATCTTGATACAAAGGACCTTGAGTAACAGGTCGTATCAGTCTGCGGATTCTGCATACTTGGGCCAACGATATGCGTGGGAGGACGCCATTGCACAATAATAGCAAGATAGAGACACTCGGTTTAAGATCCCTCTTGGCTAGATTGTCTTGATCGGTGGACGACCTGTCCTATTCCTGGTGTTATAGTACTTTGCATCGTTTCCAATCTACAAAAGTTCGATTCATGAGAATAGGTTCTCTAGGTGGCGAGCGTGAAGGTTACCCAACGCGCGGCGGCCATTTTCTTCGAGCTAACGAGTAAAGTAAGCAATTTGGAGCGGTTTTAGTAACACGTTCTCGTTACCTATGGAACGTTTTTTTTTCCACAGTCACGTGTTTTCACAGATGGATTAGCGAGGGATGTGTTTTTTAGCCTGTCGGACAAACAGGAACCAGATGGAATCTGGTTGGTTTGAACAAGCCGATGCTGCGTAACAGGAACGCGTTTACACCGAGCATGATTAACGTGAAATCTCGTAACCGTGACTAATTGTCCCTGATTAGTGAAATTCGTGTTGCATCGACGGAAATTAAGCTAACCGGGGCTTAAACCCGGTGTTAGACTACCACAAATCGGCGATTTATTGAAATCCCGGGTTAAGTAATCCTTGATTAAGGGTTTTAACTCGAATGTCGGTGCCCTTAAACTGCGTTTAGCATCCGGGTTGAACCAGGGCAATTCTCGGCATGGAAGTTAACAGGGCCCAGGAATTAATTGAATTAAAATCAACGAGACCATTCGTATGGGACGTACGTAAAGAGACCATAGCGGAAGTTCGCGAAGTGCGGCATCGGGTACAAAGTGCTGGTGCCACGCCGGCGTGACTAAACCGTTGTTAGCGCGGCTAACCCCTTGAACACTTAAACTGCACTCACGAAAGATCCCCGGTTAGGGCGATTCTCTGTATTATGAATTAAAACTAGAATTCACTAGACTGATGTTGGATGGCTTACATTTTCTTTATTTCAAATCCCGGGGACAAAAAAATTAAAAGTTACACCTCTTACAATACATTTATTTCCTAACCGTGCCTCTCCTGCAACAGCCAACGTACCGCCAAACTGAAGTTCATCTTCATGATCTAAGATTTGGTGCATCCAGTTTGGAGGAAAGTTTTACAAATATTTTTACGTTATATATATATAGAATGATCCTTTCATATTACCTTAATTTTTGGGTCCCACTATTCAGCTCCATCTTATTACCGTTCTTGTGCGTCTCGCGACCGTCTCGTACCTACCGCTCTCCCCACCAGACTGAGCCCCTTAGTAACCCCCATCAGCTTGGGCGCTCTACCACGACACACATGGCTAGTCCCATGCCGACACGCTCTAGCCTCCCGCAGGGTGCCCAGACGCCTACTACTCTCTTACCAGGCCTCGGCCGGGCGACTAGCAGGACCCCGGTATACATAGCGGCTCCAGACCGCGACGGGGCCAGTGTAAATCGGCCTTCCGACCGCACACCACGTAACGGTCAAGCGGCACGACACCCGATATTCGGGAAATCTGGAAAATTCTCGAAACCTTCTAGGCACGCGTCCGACCTGTGCGAGGCCGTTTATATAGTCATATATCGATATTTATTCCCGGCGACTTTACAGTTCCTCGTATGATCGCGTGCAGGTCGATCCCGTCGAACGCGTCACGGAGAGAGGACCGACGAAAGGTGAATATTTATAATTTACCGTTTCTGCGACGTTTTAACGCGTGTTTTACTCGGTTCCCTTCTAAGGAACCCAGAAATGTGATCAATTAAGGGTTTGCAAAGTATGCAGCGAAGTACTCGGCATTCGAATCCGCGAAGTGGGGCTCGGTTTTGTTTTGGTTCTTTGGAATTCAAGATGGCGGCCGGGAAGCTCGTCGCGCGAACGTTTCTCAAAGACGAGGGAGTCTAGGACGAGTAGAAGGTTCTCGCATGTGCGTGGAGGTTAGGTTGGAGTGAAGCTGGACGCGGGTCAGGATTTCTATTGGGAATCAGGGGTTATGTTGTGCCGGCAAA